GTAGAAATGATATTTCTACTAGTAATAACATTGCTGTAACAGTAGAAATAATATTTTGAAAATGATGTTTTACCATACCGGCCTGCTCAGTATGTTGAAAAAAATACTCTAAAAAAATTGACACGTGTTCGTCTCGAACCCAGGGCTATAGCTCAGCTACGGGTTGTACGCATGTATATAGGGCGGCCTGGGCCATGTCATAGTCAGGGGTGGCGCCAAGATTTGCCCGACGGGGGTGCCCGAGGTCCCCGACGGGGAGTGGGGGGGGGGCGGTTCCCCCGACGAGGTGTCAGATTTTCCCGACGAAAGCAAAGTGGGCGTGGTTGAGCTTCGATTAATAGGTTTCGAAAGTGCTCCTGGGGGCGAGGCTCCCGAAAATTTCGACAATTTAGGGGTTTGCAAAGGCTTATTTAATCGATTTTAGAGACTACTAATATGTTAAAAATACATATAATATTTTTTTTCTCCCCGACGAATTGTGCTTTTTCTCCTCAACGGGGGAGGGGTGGAGTGGCAGCTCTCCCCGACGGGGGACCCTGGACCCCCGCTTGCGCCACCCCTGGTCATAGTAGGGATTTTTTTTAATGAAAAAAATGAAAATCGATCAGTTTAATTGATTAATAAGTATATCTAGCAGTTATTATGTAGGTCTATCTAATAAAAATTGCTGATTTTCCTTGGCATGTGCCATACCACCCTGACTGGAGCCGTTGTAGGGCCTGAGTTGAACCCCTGTAGAAACGTACAGTAGCTTATTCTAATATTGACCCCCCACGGAAGTTGATTCCCCTGATTCCTAATGCTCTATGGCGTATTTATCACCTGGTAGATCTTTCCATATGATGGGAATACCATACATGGTCCTCCTGCCATTAATAAACCAAAAGCTAGTAACACAAAATAATATACCAGCAGTCTGTTATTTAAAAATCTAACGTATACACCTTGCTTAATTCGAAAGCCATTTAATTGATTTACTAATAATGAATAGCATAATAATTGTACCCTGTGTATTCATAACACCTATTTAATTTAGGCCACATTTTTTATATGTATTTCACAATATCCGTCAACTCGTATAATATAGGCGCATTGCTTGTTATTCATATTGCATTATACTGTAATTATGTTCGTGTATCTTGCACTTTATTTATTCATTGAGGAATAAGCATACTGTACCCTGTGTATATATAACACAAGTTTTATTTAATTAGCATACTGTCATCATTATAGAGCAAAATGCTGTAGTCGCTGCTGAAGTGCGAACATTTTGAGAATATGAACCTCGGTGCCCGGAAATTGCACTCTCATACCTTTAAAAATCTGACCGGTAATTCATAATCAACAATAAACAAATATTCTTCCTAATAAAATTTGAGTGGGTGCGATGGCACCGTCTGCACCCACCCACCTAATGTAATACATGAGTTACGTAATTTTTAAAATACCATACAATATTTGACCTTGAATGACCTATTTGTGGCAATCTGACCAGGTAAAAAATGGTAATGGTATGGTAGGCTATATACATTGAATGAACTTAAATGACCTTTTATGATCTTAATGACCATCTGACCATGTCACAAGTGTTATAAATCCTTGACCATGAAATATAATTTTAGATATCATAATTTTCATTAAAGTGGTTTAAAAACCGATATATTGATAAATATAGGATTTGCGTGGCAGCAATTTTGAAATTCAAGATGGCCGCCAAAATGACCTCGAATGAAATATTGCAGTTCATAGTAAAGATTTTGAATTCTGAGAGTCAGGGTATGGTTCTAATGTAAAATATGACAATTATGTAATATTTAAGATACCATACAATATTTGACCTTAAATGACCTTAAATGACCTATTTGTGGCAATACCAGGTCAAAAATGGTATGATGGTTTTCCTTGACCATATAAAAATAGTTTTAGACATTAGAATTATAATTCCAAGTGGTTTAGAAGCGAAGATATAGATAAACATAGGTTTTATTAGGCGGCCATTTTGAAATCCAGGCCGCCATAATGACCTCGGATGAGGTGGTTCCTACCAAAAATTGAATGCTATGACCATAAGAAGCATATGTAAAAAAAAATTGGTGCTTTTGTCCGAAACGTCCACATCCATCTGCTAAGCTGCCGGACTATTACCTGCACAAACGCCTCAGGCTGAATGTGGTGCGTTATGTGACCGAGTTAAGAAAATTGTTATGGTTGGAATTTGTATGGCAAATACATGTAGGCCTACAGATCGTTTGCTTCACTAACTGTGCAATGATGCCAAATTGGAATATTTTTATGGTGTTATTTAGGATTCGTAAATCTGGGGCGGATGCAGAGGAGGTGGGGTGGGGAGGTGCAGACGGTGCGATCGCCCTAAATTGTATTAAGAAATAATTGTTGTACTGTATTGTTGATATGAATTATCGGTAAAGATGTTTAAGGGATGTGGAGTGCAATTTCCGGGCACCTAGAGGTCCTTATTCTCAAAATGTTCGCTCCTCAGTCCCAACCATGATGGGGCTGAGGTGGCGTGGGCTCTAACGCACCCCTTCCGCCAATTCCTGCATTCGCCCCAGTAAATAACCCAATTGATTTTATTTAGCCGAATCCTATATACTGTACGAAATAAACACCGTTTGCGCTGAAATGCAGTTATTGGAAGCTTTCAGTGCACAGTTCATACAAGAGATGCACATATCCACGAAGAGTGGGGCTATACTTCAATGTGTACCATAGTCCTATCTGACTTATTCTAACGATGGAATTATAAAACTAAGTTGTTCATTAGTGTCCTGATAAAAACGAAGTCAAGACATCGGGAAGTATCCTTCACTCGAGGCGAAAAGCGCTGCGACGTTTAGTAAAAATAGATTATAATTATTATATGCCTTATTATTATTGCCTATTTGAACATTCGCGGTAATTTCTTTGGATAATTTTTATGCACCTGTCCTGCTTACGCAAAATAAAAGAGAATGTTGAAAAATCCAATGTTGCTTCGAAGAACAATGGCAATTGTCATAATCATCGACTGCTATTAATGCATGTATTCACTCGTAATTTTACTTTTAACGTGTAAATATGAATTTTAATGTGTATGAATACACAACTATGAATTTTTAATGTGACCCGAAAAAATGTCATTTTATGCACGGCGTTGATAGTGGACATAATCTCTAAGGTAAAGATATTGTTTGAATGAGAAAGGGGAGTATTTTCAACATGTAGACTCTAAAACTTTGAACACCCTAAAATGTCGTAGTTTCTAGGGATATCTTACCCTCCCTCGGTCGGGGAATCTGAAAATCAAGGTGACATCCCTTGATAAAATTGTATAAATAGGCCTACATAATAATTCGCACTTTCATGTGCGAATTATTCATAGCAGACAATTAACTTCCTTTCTGCAATTCTGAACTACTGTAAACAAATAATGATAGATATAGGACTTGTGCACAATATACATAGATAGCCTACATAATACAGTAAAACCTCGAATTGAAAGCCCTGGGCGGACTTTGGACGGGCTTCTTTTCGAGGCCATTTGCAAAGTAAAAAGGGACTTCTTTTCAAAATGAATGCTGTAAATTTTGGAAATTAGTACTATAAAACAATAAATAGGGCCACTGTAACATCAATCTGCATTATGGAGTGTATTAACCAGCATTAAAACTCCTAAGCTTCTGTATAAACCAAGCATGTTTTTGATTTATTTTGTTTCTTTGAAATTCATGTACAGTGTTGTACTATCACAATTAGGAGTCTATGCTGTCTCGAAATAAGGTCCCTTGTCTTCTTTTTGAAGTGGGCTTCTTTTCGAGGCTAATTTTGCAAACTTAAGGAGTGGGCTTCAATTCGGGATGGGCTTCATCTCGAGATTAAGCCTATTAGGCTTCAATTCGAGGTTTTAGGTAGATTGTTAGTTTTTGGTAAGTTCCTAATCTCTAAGCGCCAATAAAAGAAGCCTTAATTTTTAATTGGCACCATTGTCAAAGTAAGCATGTTTCCTCTTCCCGGCCGTGAATTCGGTTTTCCTGCCTTTTCCCCCATCCCCATCATTTCAACACAGACCTAAAACCCCTACTGAATATTTTCCACTGCCAGAAAGTTGGTCCAGTGGGTCGAACCCTTTTGTAAAATCCCTCCCTACCTGGCTTAGGAATTCTGCCTAGAGAGGGCCACATAGGAACGTTGCATATAGAGGAATAAATGATTCATGGGGGAGGAGAAGATCTAACTCCTATATGACAACGGGATTGTGCGCTCAGCATTTATTATATAGTAAGATTATATACAGTACTGTATGTTCTTGTGGATAATTAGGGCCTTCATTTTTTAGTTGGACTGCACAGCAACTTACTTAGTCAAGCAACCTCCCGAAAGTTCGTAATTGTTACAATATTTTTATTAGGCATTGTATTAATATAGTCCTACAATACTGTAATACCGATTGGTATTAATAAATAGCCTGCAGTTTATATATCAATTCTATCATTTGATTCATTAGAACTTTGAGCTGATAAAATATATTCCTAATTCATTGAAATGAGTAGTAATAATGTTTAAGACGAATCATATAATCCCAGTCTAGACAAACAAAAAACATAGCTACGCGACTAGACTCAAGAGTAATAAGGCAAAAATACAATATTTATAGCTGATGTATTTATTTTATCTAAATTCTAAGAAGCCTTATTGATTCCCGTGCACGCTCAAGCGTTACCAAGCAAAATAGCAAGACATATACACATAACCGCTAATCAATATAAAGTCAAATTTACAACTGGCCTATGCATTAATAATGCTACCAAGATTATCATCATCGCCAATCTAGACATTTTTTCCTCTCCAAGCTCCTGTAGTAAAGCAATCTTTATTAACCAACTGGGTAAATACTGTAGAAGAAAATGCTATTCATAACTGGACTGCACTCACACACAGTCACCACATGAAAATAAAGTACGGTATTTAAACAATATATCGCAAATTTCTAAACAGAATATAATGCCCGTATGAATACATAAAAAAAAAGAAAAATAAATGTACACAAACCATTATCATAACATGATACAAACATCCAGGTTTAAACAAGATCTTCATACTGTACTGACAAATAAAATACATTATATAAAGCAGTCCTGATAAGAGAACAATACGTGCGGTTGATACGGTTGAGTAAGGCCGGGCACTCACAGCGCCTGACGCAATTTTATGAGGAACGCTACGGCACAACGGATCGTTTTTAATGACGATCCATTCAGACCACCGACAACAATCAGCAGATGGTGTCTCGTTGTCTATAGTTCACATGGAGCGGATGTTTGATTCTTGGTATTTTTGGCTTTACTCCACAACTAAACAGTATCCATAGCTTTTCAACCGAAGTATCTGTACAGCAAAACTTTTCTTCAATGTATATTTGCTTCTTGTAAACTTCATTTACAATTAGATATCATTGGGCAATTAATAGTTTGTGAGTTTCTTGTTTTTATTTACAATTATATTCAGAACTTATTACGTTTTGACACACCAGTTGAAAACGAAAATCACATGTTTCATCCTCTTAGAGATGTCATAAGTAACCATAACGAAGCAGCCAAGCAAATATCAATATTCCATAATAAAAACCCTGTAAATTTATATAAACAAAATGAGGAGATAGACGTTGATAATCTTTTTCTCCAAGCAGTGAGTTTTTGAATTTGATTAAGGTAACTAAGAATACAATATTTCAAGTTGTTTTCAACACTCATTCTTTATATTGAAAAAATATAACATTCGTGCATAATAGTTCTGTAAAATGTCTCCGAAAATAACTTTTAAGTGTTGTGTAAGTAAGCTATACAATATATTTACAATTAATGTACTTCAGTACATGTGTACAGTACTATGATAATGCCTCTAATATTTATATATATTTCTCAGGCAATATTTGAGGCATTTTTTTTTTTTTTAATTTTACCACAGGTCATATAATATAGGACCTGTGGTAAAAAAAACAAAAAAACAATTCACTTAAAACAGTGAATTGCTTATATAAAAGGATCAAATAAAGCATAGATTTTTTTTCCACTATTAGCAGTTGCATATCCATTGGGAGCACAAGGAACACACTCCCCCAAAAAAGTATGTGCCCCTGTTGTCCCCAAAATGTTTGTAGCAAACAACTAACGCTCAAGTAGTTTAAAATCATCTTAATTTGCAAGCTAGCACCCTCACTTAATTATTAGTGAGGGATGCACTCCCCCACCCCTATTAAACCCCCACCACTTTAAGACTCTTATAGATACATCACTGATTATGAGCCAATTTAAGGGTGTATGCAAAAACGGACATTGTTATGCCTCTGTTAATATAACAAAGAATGTCATTGAAGATTCTTTGTAAAGTCAGATATTTTTGTTTTTGCTGATGTTGCCCATTTAGCTGCCTCCTTCCAAGTCCTCCATCCTCAATCGCTTTCTCAAACAACAAACTTCAGATGACCGAAAATAACCAGATTGGTCACAGATTGAAACATCTGCACGGTAACTATTTGACTTGCATTTTGGCACGCTCATGGGAAATCTATGCTCGGATCTCGATGTTGACATTGTTACTCGCTGTTTATATCTACCTTTGGATAATGACTCTGAAAAATATTGAGTAAAATGACGAGGTCTGCTGCAGTTCTTTGGCGTTCTCTGCGACTGGATCTTAGTGGAGACAACTTCATTTGAAAACGAACACAAGTTACTAATTTCTGTGGTTTTATTCTCTTCCAACTTAGGGGTTTGTTTATTAAAATTGTTGTTTGGTGTGATGGACACCAGATGATCACTTCTTCTAGGGACACAACTATCACTGGGACAAAATCCTCGAAGCTTGGATCTAATACTGAATGTTTTCTGGTCTTTCTCATCATCAACATCAAAATTTAACCTTGTAAAAATGTTAATAGCATTTGTAGGTACCTTGCCAATTAATATAGATGTTTCTGATGTGCATGGTTTCTCCTCCAAGTGAGTATGATGGAAATCATTCTTATCAGTAGATGATCGATCAAGACATTTGTTGAGACAATATTCTATATCAGGTCCGCTTCTTCTACCACCATTGCTTTTTCTTCTTTTCTTTGCCTTTTTTGATCTCTTTTTCTTTGCGCTTGACTTTGTCACACTTGCATTTTTCTCATCTTTCTTTCTCTGTGACTTCTTTTTCTTTTTCATTATTTTTAGAACATCATTTCTATTCTGTCTGTTTAACTTTAATTTAGAACTCCTAGTGGCTCTTGCATCTGTTGGTTGGAGGCGAGGTGAAGACCTAATTTTTAATGGAGATTCCTTCCCAGATGAACTTGATGAACTGAAGTAATGATTTAATGTTGACTGAACTAACCTGTTTTTATTATCTTTTGAAGTTGATAGAACCTGTTGTCTTAGATTATTTTTTCTTTTTACCCTTTTCTTAACAGGATTTTTTCTTTTACCTGCTTTGTCTACATTTTTGTTACATGAATTTTTAAAGGAGTTCTGGGACAGGTTCCACTCAAATTTGAAGGAAGGCCCACTAATTCCTGCATCAGAATCACGAATACACATACTTATTGTAGTCTCCTTCTTGGGTGTGTATAGCATTCTCTGAATATCTGATGGACATGCTTCAGCACTTTCCTCAGATGATGAAGTACCAGGTTTTTCTTCGTTACTTGACATCTGTACAGAGCTAAATTGGTCAAAAACAGGTTCCAACTTTGGCATTTCACCAAATAATGAGCTGCCATCACCATTCATATCCATCCTTCCTGAATCAGGATTTGGCTTGCTCTGGTAACTGTAAAAACTGACATCATCTGGAAGACGGAAGGATGATGCCTTCTTTGCCAGCGGTGGCCCATTGCTGGTAAATTTAAAAGCTTCCCTCTGATGTCGCTCGCAAAGGTGACTGCATGGGGTAACTTTTGCTGAAGACTTCATATCGCATATACTAACAGGAGAGTCGTCATCACTGGATATAACGATGACCTCATTGCTGGTTGGTGTAAGTAAATTTACTTCTGTCAGATCATTGCTTCTTGTGTCAGAGTAGTCTTCAACCTTTGGTGTTGCAGAACACTTAGAAATCTCATTGTCATTAAGTTTACTTACTAATGTAGTCTGAATTAATTTTGCTCCTAATGGTGATTTCTTCTCATGATCAGCATTCATTGGTGGAAACTCTAAACACAGTCGCTTTGGCATTTTGTGTATTACAGGAGGTTCGTCTGCTTCACTATCTTCAAGAGCTCTTTTTCGTTTGTTCTCCAGCTCTTCAAGCTCATTATAAATCATTGGTGGTAGTTCCAACTTGGAACCTGTCCTATTTGATTTCCGAATCTGACTGAAGCCCAAGAGTTGATGTACACATTCATGCTCTGTGATCTCTTGCCAGCTCAAGGGTTTAAGCGGCACATCTGGAAGGCTTACTCCAGCAGCCCTTCTTGCTACTGGTGATCCTTGATCTGTTGGTACTTTTACTTCAAAAATTGGGTTACACTCATCAGATGATTTCAGTAGTTGGTTGCTAGGTAATGGTGATCGTGGAGTTTTGCCTTGAAGTTTCATCTTGTATGGTGGCCCATTTAATTGCTTCTTGGATAATGAGGATGTGGATTTAACTTTCTTTTTGGAATCCATTTCTGTAAAGAATGAAATACAATTTTGTCAAATTAGAATATCTTTGTTTACATTTTGAAAATCATAAAATATACTTTACCTTTGACAGAAGAGACCCTCAAGCTGATGCTTATGAGCCCCTCTGATTAGTTTGTGGAATCCCTTTTAATAATAATGTGCTTGTTTTATATAGTGTAGCATTTTACATACAACCCTAGTCATTTGAACAAATGACTATAACACAAATACATAGATCCTGGGGAAGTATCCATTAGAGGCCCACTTATACTCCTGGGCAGATAGAGACAATTTGGATAGTGAATTATACGAAAACCCCAGGGAATTACCAGAATTATTCGGGGATGGAATTGCAGATGTGATGCTAACCACTAATATATAATGACTTACCTGTGCTGACCATTGTACAGCATATCCAGCAAGCCCAGTCTTTAGAATCATTCTTCAATCCACCGCATTTGATATGGCAGCCTTGTGACCCACAAATGCCACACAAAATTATCATCCATTTTCTGAAATAAATGACAAGTTGGTATCAACATCAGTCGCAAAAGAGGAGAAAAGTGAGGTTTGTGAGGCACAAAGACATTGTGGGGTAACATCGCATGACACATAGCTTGGTAAGGATGGGATATACAGATCACTATCACTTTGAGGGGGGGGGGGTTCCTACCCCAGAATGTACAGCAGTGGTCTGTAGAGTATATGGATTTTTCAAATTTTTATTTCACTTTCTAAAAAAATCCAAATTGTTTTTAATGTATTTGTAAACATGGATAAAAGGTTAACAAACACTGGAATGCATTTCTTGTGAATATTTGACCTCAATGGAATACCAGCAATAATAAATAATAATAATAAAAAAAACTCTGAACACTGAATTGAAAATGGTAAGTATATTCTTTCATTTACAAACTAGACTAAAAATGAACATAAACAATTTTCTTACTTTCCTTTGCTGAATGTACGACCGTTAGGACAGAGGCAATCCTCAGCATCACACCTATGATGGCGCTCTAACAAATCCTGAAATGCTCCATCCTCCCGTTCCCAAGATGCATCCTGTTCGGGAATGTAGATACCAAACTTCTTCATCTCTTTTTCAAAGTCATCTTTGTTGTTGCAGACAGGGCAGCGAAAGAAATAACCAGAACTTATAGCTTGTCGCTGAAATATAGATAAAATAATTTTCACCATAAGAACACATCAGATCCAGATATATTTTTCTGTTCCATACTCTACACTATAGACTCAACTGGGCAACCCCGTAAAAAAATGTCACATCAAATTATAGTACCAGTTTATGGAGAGTAGAAAACAGATTATATGGTGCTTGCAATGCCAGAACCAACATCAGTGAACAAACCAAGAAAATTGACTTTTTAATGTATTCATATCCTCCATATCATAAGCTTTAAAATGATAGGTCAATTACTGGAATCGTCTTGGAAGACAAAATAATATAATTTAAATTCACCTGTAGGCACTCTCTATGAAGCCAAAGGTTCTTGCAGCATGGTGTCTTCAGGACATTGACTTGTGGTTCAGAGGGCACATCGCTAACACATATCGGGCACACACTTTTACTAGGACTGCCACAGGATAGGTCAGGTTCTTGACTTGGGCGATGCTCAAAGCAAAATGAGCTGTAATAGGTAATATATATCATTAACAATGATGTATTAAATCAAATATAAGAAAATGTAAAACGTGTACTAAGTAGACATAGTAAATCCTATTAGGGCCCATAGGGGCTGCAGGGGCGGATCCAGAATTTTTCAAACAGGGGGGCACAAGAGTTTCAGAATAAGTAAGTGAGCAGCACATAACATTGATTTGCATTGAAATTTTTTAAAAGTTAGTGAGAAAACGGGGGGGGGGGGGGAACGGGAGAGACTAAGATGCAATAATTTACTAAGTGCCCATCAAAACACCTAGGGCTAAATCAAGGGCTTTTATTTGTAAAAGTTAAAAAACTTTGGCTACACAGACAACTTATCTGTTAAAATTTAAATGAAGTCCTGCGTGTGCAAAAAACATCTCAGGTTTAGAGTATGGGCAAATGTGCTTTTCTACTTGCATCTGCGATCTCCCAAAAACCAACCGCAAACATTGTAAAAGTTGACTAGTATCATTAATGCATTGCGTTGTCAAGTTTGTGTCATTGGTTCCCATTTAGAAACTCCAAAATTCTTGATTTGCATCACATTCAATACACTACTTCTGACTTGTTGTGTTGTTCCCTAGGGTAAGCTGTTTTTTTAAGCTGTTAAATGGTAAACTTACTTGAAGTTGCCAAAGAACTGTGAGAGAGCTCCGTTGTCAAGACCACAATGAAAGTGAAAAGTCATCTGACATCGTTTAATCACACATCCAATGGTAGCACCTTTGCTCAAACAGTATCTACAACTCTATACAAAAATAAAGAGAATCCTGATAAAGGCTACAAATAAGTACTTAACACAATGGCTGACAAGAATATTTTCCTAGTACTTGCCCATATAATGCCAAGGCATAGAGGGCGCTACCATAATGAATATAGTGAACATCATTACCATCAACTGTAAGGAACATTCTTGGTGGGAATTCACATTCTAGTAACAATTGCTAGTGAGCATAGTGTACATGCAGTAAACAAGGTGCTATGTTTGGACAGGTTTAGACATGAACTCACTTCTTGGCACCCTAGGCAAACACAGTCAGGTGTGCACTCTTGTTTCTGGCAGTGAACATGCTAATAACAATGTTAAGAAATTCGAAATTATAAGGGGAAAAAAAAAAATCTATTCAAATTTATGTCTTTGAGTGCCACTTTCGGCCAACCAGAGGTTCCATAATAAGCTTACACCTGTAGCTTGTTGAATGGAACAGTCAATCTTTCAACTCATGAAAATATTCTTCCCACTGCACTCATAAATATTAATTTTATGTATATTATCATCTGAGAAATATTTACATTATGATTATTTTTATGATGTACTCACAAGGCGTTTTGCTCTTTTAAATTCCTGAATGATATCTTCCGGTAAAAATCCTTCAATGCCTTGGTTTTCTTTACCCCTCTGAGATAATCCACTTGCAAAAAGCTTAAGTTAAAAAATATATATATATACATTGTTAAAAAATGTGTGCTGAACTAAAAAAAAAAAAAACATTATCAATAATAATGAAAAAAACACCAAAATATTAAATATTAAGAAGCAATGATACAAAACATTAGTTACAAGAGTTTGAATAGCTTTTAGTGTTAAAAGCAATAACAAGGAACATACAAAAATTTATTTTATTTATCAATCAATCAAACAGATAAGACATGAACAAAATATAAAATGGGGAAAAGGACAGCCAAAAAAAAAAAAAAAAAAAAAAAAAATCTCAAAGGAGCTTGAAAATCTAGGTGTTCTAAATACGAAATAATAATATTATAATGTGTTGAATGCAAAAAGATAGTGAACAAATAATAAATCTTGTATCAATAACTGATATATTTTAAATTAGTAAATAAATACATAAACACACAAACTCAACAACAAACACACACACACATGCAAATACATCAAATCAAATAGGAGAATAATGTAAATCCATAAATTAAAAAATAAATGAGCGAGTAAATAAAAAATTAAAAATAAAATTAAAATCAAAATGTAGTTGGTACCAAGCAGTAATGGTGGACAGTGATGCCACTTGACTTATCTTGCAGAAGCCTACCAGCCTTCATTTCATCCATCTCCCCTGTCTGGCAGTACAAACATGTTCCTTCAAAAATAAAATTGTATTTATAAAGTGTAAATTCCCTAAATAGCCAAACATGGCACCCTGATCACTACCTTATGCTGAAATAGGCTGGGTAGACTGAAGTGGTTTTTTTGGCAATATTTCTTTTAAATGTCTCATACATATTATCATTCATTTTTGAAATAATTATTATTTCACGTTTAAGTAATTAATATTGGTGAATACTAGTGAAAAATTTAAATGATTTACATACATATTGTGATATTTCAATTATAAGCCTATTGATATACCAATCTGGAAATTTTATGTTATTTATATCGTCTTTGACAGTGATTCAAGCTTGAGAGCTAGCATCCTTAACACTGCCAGTCAGCTTTGGTAATTCTTTGTTTTATTTTTGCTTGTGTAGCTTGATGATTGCTGTCATATTAAACAATGACATTTAAATATGAATGAATTTTTGTATTCATGCTAGACACTGCCACAAGCCACGATGAATATATAGTATTATATGTAGGCCTACCATCAGTGGGTATACCAAGCTGCTTCAACATCTCAACTGCCTTCTTAGAAGGTTCTTTAGACTTAGGCTTAGCTGCTTTCTTCATTGTTGTCGCTGTAGTTATACTTTAATCAGCCATAATTCTCTTCCTGTTACGACCAAATGAAAAAAAAAAAATTGCATAATAAAATATATTCAGGCAAGCATATTTCTATACATTCTTTAAAAAGAAAAGCAAAAAAAAAAAAAGTTTTTCATTTTATCACATTTTCCAAGAGTATATATAATAATTAAAGAAATGAGTGCAAGGTAACAAATTTATAAAGGGGCACTCTATACAGTAATGCAATTTGGTTGATAAATAACACTTTATATTTTACGGCAGCAGTAGGAGTAATGGAATTTAAAAATAAAGGAAATATTTTTAATTTCTTTTCCCGCAATTGCAATTAGATTGACAAATAATGCTTTATATTTCTTGGCAGCGGCAGGCATAATAAAATTCAAAAATATACTTTTTTCGCAGCAGCAGGTAGGCATTGTAAAGCCACAAGGGTGATCGTTGTGTGGAGTCGTAATTAATGCTTATACATTACATTGAGAAATGGCAAAGCATAAAAATCGGCCCTTGCTTTCCGATGTATATATTCCCCACGTAAGCCATATTTTATAGTCTGGGATGAGCTAGCAGGGCAAAACAAATTTTTTAGTTTAATCAAAATTATAAAATAAGGGTTCATGAAACATGGTATTTAAAAAAAGGGCCTGCGCCAAAAATTTAGGTCTAGAAAGCAAACTGCATATTTTCGAAATGGCCAATTTCCACACAAGTTTTGTAGAAAATTAGGCCTTTGCCTATATCTTAATAAAACAATAAAATTTATCGTTACTGTACCCAGTACTGTAGTTACATTTATGTGCACCTAAATCTATTCTTCTATAGATTTTCTGCACAAATTAAATAACTGAACTGCTTTTGGTAGATGCTTCAATCGGGGTACAGTAGGACTTCTTCAGTCAATTCGATTTACTGAATGACTAATAAATATCCTAATACTGATAATATAAATATGTCTATTGACTTTAAAAGTAATAATAAACATCATGTTGTATATTACGTCAATTCACCAGGAGATGCCTAGGCCAGGCATAACTTACAATACAAGAGCGTAATTCCAAGTTTAACAAGCTTAAAACTCTCACTCATAAGTGATATGATAAGCCTATCTATTTGCAAAGTAAGGATAGTAAAATATTTTAATAATAAAGACAAACAAAACACACTTTAACTTCCTGACTTTTCAGATGATAAATACATCGTGGCCGAACTGGTTCGCTGCCGAAATGGATGGCATCCCTTCAATGATGGGGAACACTTATGGAAGCAAAGTAAATACTAGAGGAAGAAGTGGAGTGGAATACTGTAGCTGAGTGGTTAAGATGCTTGCCTTCTAATCTCAGGGTCCTGGGTTCAATTCCTGTGACGGGATATGACTTCTTCGGCCGCGCGAAATTTATATGGAGCGCCAGTTGGGCATTTCTCCACACCGCATGCTGTGGCGGCATATGCCTAACTTTAAGCCTTTGCTAAACTAAATAATTGCTGTCATATTGCACAGTAATATTTACGTATTTATTTTAGGTATTGTATGTATATAATTATAATAATTGCTTTCATGTACAGTATTATTTACTTATTTATTTCAGGTATGTGGATTTCTTTTTAAGTGTCTTACATTGAAGAATTGTAAAGCTTCAATATTTTATTTGTTTTACAGAACAGTATTGTTATTCATTATACAATTTGAAACTGTAGGCCTATTCATTGTACAGTAATTCATATTTCCAGTATAAGTATAAGCTCCAGTATTTTATTTATTAATAGACTACAAAACGCATTTTTTACTGTATTTGTATTCACATTTCGTCAGTTTCCTTAATCCACAAAATAGAATTTTGTCAAATAAAATTTAGAATGATACACGTGCACAAATTTCGTCCTTTATCCACAAAATAAAACATTCTGTTGTCTGTTCATGTTATCTTTTCATACAAGATCGGATGTAAAATAACATATTAGCAAGGGTGATGAAAGTGTGTTATTTACAAGAGTTGGAAAAGGAAATTTAGAGTAAATTCTGCAATCATTAGTCAATAAAAATTCTTTAGGAATATCTCTCTATTCTCATGCCCTTAATGTACATACACTTTATATATCATTTTAAAAGCCAATCAATTAATTTAATCAATCAAATATTTAATTTATTTAAAATTCAGGTCTTTATATTTACATTACTGAATAGTAAACAAGTGCACATGTAAAAAATGAGATCTATAATCGATAAAAAGCAATGATGTTTACCTTTAACAATTATTATCATCAATGTTTAAAAATCTTGCAAATATGTTGCTTGTGTTAACCATGGTGTAAGTGGCAGTGCAAAGTTTGCCATGTTTAATTTGTTACGATTTTTTCACAAATATAATTTTATCACTGAAATTTTAACACACTATTAATATTAATTGTTGTGACATGTTCTGTGTGTATAGGCCTATCTGTAACAATGTAAGCTTGAGTGTTTCTGAATTTGAGGTTAAGAATTGAATAGATATAATAGCGCTCATTCAACCACTGTATATCAGCGTGCCAAACAATAGTGCGCATTCAACTTCCAATCGGCAAAGCACTCAAAGGGCGCTCCATACATTTTGGTGTTCGACAGGGCGCGGCCGAAGGTGTCGGCGGCTGAAGTTGGCCTAAAGCCCTGTGACAGCAGGATTTTTCTTCAAAACTAAAAACAACTCCACTGAACATGAATACCAGCCACCCAGAAAGGGTGACCCTCTATAAATATGGTTAAAAAGGGAAAAAAGGAGAGCACAAGCCTATGCCTACAGCCTACACTACACAGTCAGTAGGACCTACTCTACACTGATTGGCCTAGTTAGGCTAGGTTATTTTATTATAGTTCTAGCTAGCTAGGCCTAGGCTAGCCTGGACCCTATCTATGATGCCAAGCTAGGCCCTAGCCAAATCCCCCAGGCCCCTAGGAGGCCTAGGCCCTAGGCCTACTTATTTAATGTTATTTTATTTTTATTACATTCTAGGTAGGCCTACCTTACCTTGTCCTTCCATCACCCACCCATCATCCCAGTCAGTCAGCAGCACACACAATACAACCCCAACCTTTTTAGTTTGGTTAGTAACCTGGGTGCAGGTCAACTCGGCCACAAGTCAACTCGGCCACAGTCAACTCGGCCACAACCAAAGTAAATTTATAAATCCCAATTTAATAGTAATTCACAATTCATGAATAAACATATTCATTTTTATTCTGTAGTGAAACTACTTTTGTTTCTATACACTGAACCATCTAATGCCATTTTAAGAATGTGATTGGTTTTATTTTATTAATAGAATGAAAGACTGAAGTTGATAAACAGGGAAATAGAAGAGAAAGCAGAGGCATCAGAACTACAGATTAACACCATATCGCAACAGTACAGAAATGTGCTTCAAGAAAGACAGGTTAGTGTTTAGGGTAATCACTGAAATTTGGAACTCTATATTTGTCGTGTCATCATATATGTTAACTTTTAAAATATTACTAACAGCTTCGCTATCAGAGACTTAGGCAGAGCTGCAAAAAGTGCATGACCGGCGGTCGGAGGCAAGGTGAATGTCACAGAGGCATTTTGGTGGTGGGGGGTGGGGGTGTTTGGGGAAATTAAAAGACTGTTGGGCTATTTAGCAATCATATAACAATTCGTGCTGAAGGCATTTTATCAAGACAGTTTTCATGGTCGGAGACATAGACATTTTTTTCCAGGCCTGGATGCAGGTTTATTATCATTGTATCAGGGACCCAAGTTCACGTCTGACACGTTTCACTCAGGGCATCAAAGATGTGAGTTTACGCTCCCAGAACTGTCCAAACGTACCTTTATTGTATTGCATGTAAACTCGCTGGCAGTGGTGACAGTCTCCAGAACACAAATTCTTTCACTGGTAGTTCAGGGAAGAATTCAGAAGCAGTCATCACATGGATTAACCGCATCCATGGAGACCATCTATTCAGAATTATTTATTATTTTATTTTACATTTTAAAGGATGAAATAAAACACTTGAAGCAAAAGCACCATGAAATGGAGGATCTCCACTCCATGATGTCAATGTCACCAACCATGACCACCAGTACATCAACAAGTTCCCTCTCTGGGTCCAAGATTCCTGATGATCATGACTTCGACGATGTCATCTCTTCACAGCATGAGATTAACCGTTTATCTAAGGAGGTCACCCACCTACAAACAGAATGTGAGAAGTGGAGACGGCTTCATGGATCTCAGTCTACACAAGTAAGATAAATTTAAATTCATAAATTGATATCACATGAAGCCACTGTAATGATGAAAGCTTGTTTCAAAAAAAGTTCTGGTGGCTTGCAATATTTAATTTTTGAATATGATTTTGATGAACATTTAAAAGTGCATAAAGTGCTAATTACGCTTTACAGTAATATTAAGATTAGCTCTACATTTTTAGTCAGCTAGATGCAATATCAAGACCAAAAAAAGTAGCAAAATGTAGGAATTCCGACGCTGAAACAGGGTTGTTTTAAAGGCTTGACATAACAGAAATCATCCATATATTTTTTCTAAGTCGGGGGTTGTCTTGTATGCGATTGCCTTATATGAGAGAATATACGGTACTGTATTTCCCAATATGATAAAGCTGCAGTATTGGTTTTATTGAAATTTTATAAAATATATAATAAAAGTACAAAAACAAATATATAAAATGTCGCCTTTCGGAGTACATTAAGACAGTTACCTTCCAGCATCCTTGGTGATATTAAATGGCCTATTACATTACCATATAAATGAGGTTTCTAATGATATCCTGGAACATATACATGTGATTGTCAGAAATAGGTGTCATTACTACTTTGTAAATTTCACAAATCCATGACATATTTCATTTACAACCTGCGAAATGCTATACTTAAGAGAGGGGTTTTTATAATACCTTCTCACCTAGATAGACATAGTTGCAAGAATTATTTTCTTACATATTTTCTTATTGATTCAATCAGTACAGCTAATTATTTCACACTATCATATACAGAAATAAAAGAATAGATGGTGATCCCTAGTGAATAATAAACATCATTTATATAATTGCTTTACTTATATATTTTTTAAAAAATTTTATTGAATTCAATGAACCAACAAAAATATAAAGATTAGCCTGAGAAATGATTACCAATTATTCCTCTATTCATTCATGCAAAGAAAAGATAAGATAAACTTCATTGCTCCAAAAAAAAAATGTTTGATACTCGCATTAATATATAGAATTGACGTTAAAAATATTAAACAATGATCAAATGCAATGCAATGTAATTATAGATAGAACACATTACAAGGCACTTCATCTATTTCATTACATCTTGACATACAAAACATATGTTTATTGCCTGTACTATGTAAACATTAAGTTCTGTGTTTGAATATTCGCAACTACAAGTAGATATGAGAATGCCACATGGGAATTTAACATTATGACAAAGTAATACTGTAAGCACAGGAAAATTACATTATGAATATATTGTTTGTTTGTCACAAGTTTCCCCGGATATGCAAGCTGGACAAAAGGTAATTGACAATAAACAAATAATGTAAAGCACATCGTACATTTAGTACCATCATGCAAAGGTTGCTTAGATTTACAATGTATTTCTATCCTTAAGACTTTCATTGAAATACACTTCAATTTCACGTTATTAGTGTCGTTTTCGACTTGTACACATATCCACATATATGTACTGTACTTGTGCATATATGGTACCTGGTGGGGTTAAATGACAAAATGCGCTGATGTAGCTGCTGCAACTTTATGGAATACTCCCTCAGGGAGCTTGAGTTTGTGTTCCAGGCGTTTAATCCAATGACTGGGGGTAGTAATGTGAAGCGTTTAGAGGCCTTGTTGCTGTTGCTATATAAATCTAACATATTATTATATCCATAAGCTCAGTATATATCAAACTCGATAATCCATGGAAGTCAATAAATATGGTAAATATAACAACATACATCAATAAAGGAATAGCACATTATTCATGAATCTCAGTATTTATACTATTCTATCAGTATCAACAGTCAATAAATGTAATAGATGTGATAAATGTAATAATCAGCGTCAACAACGATAACACATTAATCACGATCTCAACATCAATGTAGGTAACCTATATCAGTAATAAAATTCAATAAATAGAATAAGTGTAATAAATAGATAACAGCTAACCTCAATAGAATCAACGACAATCATTCTCGAATCTCAACAATTATTCAAAACACAAATGTCTCTACAGCAAGAACACAGTCGAGTAACAAGTTATCAAGCGAACAGTCCAGTTTCCAGTGCGACCACAATGTATCGTATATTGTGGTCCTGTGAGCTTGTGTTCCGGACAACGTGCTTGCGTTCCGGTGTAACGAACGAGTTGCATCAACAAACGGTTATGAGACCTCTTTTTCGGTCCTTTCTACCATCAATGATGGTAAATAACTTGAAAATAAATCTTTCTTATTCTGCTTTATATTCAATTGATTCTGGTACGTCCGTTGTACGCATCACCAGTACGTGAGTTTGACACAAGGGTTTAGCCAGAAAAAGAAATAGGCTGTCCAGTGGGCGTGGCCTGCCCATTGGCTCAGTGCCACGCCCATCTTTGGGAATCCCCACCGAATATCGGTACAACAACAACGTACATTTAATAAATAAATGTTGCTTTTATCAAACGTAAATATGATTTAGCTTTAGTTTAATATAACATTTGATAGATTTGAAGAGTATGAAGAATTTGCTAAAGGTAGACCAGGCCCAATTAGGCTAGGCCGAGCTGATTAGGCCAAGTCGTCCAAGCCGTCTCGGTAAAAGTGACCGTCCTAAATAGTTGTAGGCCGTCCAAAAGACGGCCGGATGGCTTGCTGGCTAAGCCTGTTTGACAGCAATGTAAGTCAAGATAATATAGGCCAGCAACATGTGAAGCACCGTAGGCAAAACCCAGCCTAATCCTGCACACATACAACTCTACAGTTGTCACAATTTTGCAACACCGTGACTCGTTTAAGTACTCATTCTGTTTGTTCTGCCACGTTCCGCAACAACGACTCACTTTTAAATAGGCACACACCTGAGCCGTCATCATTTAAAATGTATACATGCGACGCCTGAACACAATAACCAGACCAGCCAGTAAACTGTCATTATGTCATTGTTTTATTTGTTTTATTTAAATTACACAAATTCCTTACATTACAATGTTGGTTGACTGAACATCTATATCAAGCTCTTCAAGTTATATATATAATGATTTTTTTTTTACATTATGTTATTTTATAAAACTATTTTGCTTTTGTTTTATTTAAATTACACAAATTCCTTACATTACAATGTTGGTTGACTGAACATCTATATCAAGCTCTTCAAGTTATATAATGATTTTTTTTTTTACATTATGTTATTTTATAAAACTATTTTGCTTGCTTTTCAGTCAAATTTTCAAATTGGTGGGGCAGATGAACACACGGGGATTGTAGATGAGTCCAGCTTACATGCACAAATTAAGGTAGGTTGGAATCTCATGATTGATTTACTATTAGGCCTAAAAAAATAAATTGTTTGTTTGCACTTCTTTTTTTAAAATGATAAAGAGGGGCGGGTGGAAAAAGTTAAATTGAACATTTTTTTTTAATTTGTAAATAAAAAAGCTAAAAAAATACCCTTTTTTTAAAAAGTTTTTTTGTTTTCTTTTCCTCCCCCCCCCCCCCTATTTTTTTCAGCGATTTAGGTGCAGGTGGAAGAGGGCAAACAAACAATTTTTAGTTCCTATGCATGTAATGCAATAGGAACTATTGTTTTCACTTTCGTGTGTGTATGTAGACATTTATGCAAATACGCATGCATCAAGAAAAAGTTTTCCGACATTTTTGTTTTCCATCGTGAGTGAAGTTTCTTCAGTGTTTCAGTCTGGGCCCCACGCTAACCAATCACCAAGTCGCCATGGGTGAAAATATTTTGGATTGACAGAAAAAAACCAACTGCTTTAGGCATGTTGGCGAAGGCCTAAATTAAAAAGAAAGCTGCAAACATTAACTATGTGCCTCGCTAGTTATTTTTTTTTTTGTAATTGTTATTTTAACATGGCAGATGCAGGGCAGTGGCTGTAAAGCGTAGACTAATATGAAGGTACTACATTCCCGACGGCCAGTTATGTAGTACTCTTTGAATGCAAACTGAAGACAAGTGTGAATATAAAGACTTTCTAGCTTGGGTTTTTCCACTAAAACATGAGGCCTAGACCTAGTTTAGTACACTGTAGTTACTGCGATTAGATGGTGCTATATCGTTAATAATAATTTAATCTTAGTCAATGGTTTCGTGGTATAGTCTTATTATACGTAAAATACATTTAAACAAATGCGTGTAAACTGCACCGCGTGGGTCGCTTTGTCATACAGTATACGTTGTAGAGTAACGGTAGCAAGGCTAGGCCTAGCCTAGGGCCTGGACTACAGTAGATGTACGTTCTTGGTCATCGCGATCAAAACTTCAGGAGACAGACGATTGGGTCCAGGCCATTTTTTAATGTATTGTAGTAGAGTAGGCCACCACTGCCAGCTCCTCTACCCACATTATCGTTCCAAACTACTGTAAAATGAAAATACTGTATACCTAGGCCTACAATTTTTTTTCAACTTTTGTGTTATATTATTCTACAATACAATATTTTTGAGTAGGCCTACCTTGTTGGTGTGCTAAAAATATTACTGTAATTTGCCTATCAAATAACATTACCAATGTGGTCTAAAATCACTATTTTATGTTCTTTGTAGGAACTAGAAAATCAACTAGCCCTTGAGGATGATAACCACCAACATGAGTTGTCAGTTCTGCAAGACGCTCACATACAGAAACAGGCAAGCATTAAACGCCAACACAAGATGGAACTGCAAGACCTCCAAGACAGACTAGATCTGTTACAAGATGATGCGTCATCATCAGGCCATAGCACTCCACATTCAGACAGCTTGTCACCCACTCACTCACCCGTAAGTCCCTCGAGTCCAATGGATGTAGACAGGCTACGTAGCGAGCTTCGTGAATCTCAACATTCCTTACAAAAACTACGGAAAGATAGACAACATTTAGAAGAGTCGAATAAGCGACTCAAAGTCGATCTTGAACAGACAAAACTAGTTGAAAAGGAGAAATCAAGGACATTGCAAGTTCTTAATAGACAACTTGAAGCCATCCAGACTGAAAAACAAGTTTTATTTGATGACAATGAACAATTCCGGAAAGAGAAAAAACAATTAAGGGAGAAATTAAATAAATTGCAAGCAGAAAATGAAAGCATTAAAGGAGATAAAAGAAAATATGAACAATTAATAGAAAGTAAAGGACAAGAGTTTCAGCTAGCCAACAGTAAGATTCAAAGCCTTCAAGAAAAGGTCACAGGTCAGGAAAATTATTTAATTATTAATTTTTTATTATGTAAGCATTAGTCATAGCATATGGTTTTTACATACTACTCTATGGTTGCTTCTTAAGTTGATAACCCAAATTGGAGAAATATGTTTTTTATTAAGTAAATAGGTAGACCTACTTTATACAAAATTAAAATAAAATACATAATAAAAATAGTAATATTGTATATTAATTTTTTTAAAATATAACGATTTCACACTTGACATAACATTCAAAGCTTTCATTTTTACTAAATGCCAATGAAGTAGGAAATGATGGATTTCATACATACTACTGTAGCAACAGTCAGGCATACACTGTACCAACAGTCGTTGGCTGATGTGATTGCAAGAAGAATGCAACATCAGGAGGCGTGTGCAACGGATCGTTTTCAGTAACTATACTCTGGATGCCGTCTTGCCATCAAAGGCTAACAGAAAGTGGCGCCATGACTGATATAGTGTGGGCCTGGGTTTAATATAAGACCTGTGCAGACTATCAAATTTGTATTTGACAAAAATAAGTTGTATACCCATATATAGACATGAAGTGCCTATATATGGTCATGATGTCTTCATGGCCATATTTAGGCATATCACATGTTTTTGTCAATCAAATTTGTTAGTTTGTCAAAAATTGTTTATATTAAATCTTTGAATGTTTGTTCTTCGTAGAGCAAGAAGACGAGCTGAACGAGTTACGTCGAGATAACGATCAGGTGCGAGATGACTTGTACACAACTAAACAAAGACTTTTGGCAGCTTTGGAAGCCAGCCATGTACAGTTGCATATTTGCTTGCTTTTCTATAGCGAGCAGCATGGACTCTGCAGAGTAGAAATAGCATCAACCTTTAACCTCATTTAACCTTTAACCCTTTTCAATGCATTTTCTTCTTTGACTTTTTTAACCTGGTACTATCAAAATTAACTGGAATCCATATTCTAATCGTATACCTTCAGTTTTAATATTTACATATATTTTCTAAATTTTATATTCCAAATTATACAAAAAATTGTTTTTGTATGTTTATAATTTTATTTTTTGCTGATATAATATGCAATGCAAATGCCAGCATGTATCATATTTATGGGAAGTTTGTTAATGAAAATTTGGACCTACAGAATATTTTTTTTGTGTGTCTATAAGAACTTGCATGTACTAAAGTTTGCATAAAATATGGAAAATAAAGCAAATTATTTTTTTTTAATAATTACCAGTCAAACCAAAACTATGTATATTATTTTTTGGTATCATAATATTCTAATAAAAATAAAGAAAGATGTATTTACCAGCATAAATTTTGTTATGTAGGATCAATGTTTTGTCCTACCTGATGTGTTATCTTACTAAATGCCCAGAAAATTCCTCATTATATACAAAAAGATCTTGCAAGTGATTTGGGTGGGAATCACATTGCAAGTTTTTTTTTTTTTTGTAAGGTGAGACATTTTTTATACCTTGTTTAGGAGAACCCACTGACCGCCAATAATGATGATTTCAAATAAATATTAAATTTTATTTTTGACCACAAAATGAAAGGATTTTTCTGAAAAAATTAAAAGTTTTTCTTCTTTTTAATATGCCAGCTGCTGTCTTGAAATCTCCAAAAGCAAGATATGTATATTTCTTCCTAATTATATAAATTTAAAGCATTTAACTGTTTACTTTACACCAATAATATTTCATTTTTATTTTCTCCGTCTGGATGTTTTTTGCAAAAATATTTGAAAATAAGAAAACAAAATTTTATTTTTATTTTTTTCCGTCACCTCTGACAATCTGTGAAAAAAAAGTTTGTGAAACAAGGTTTTGAGAAAACTCTTGCCTAAGTACTGTGCATTCAGTGTGATAGCATGTCAGGTAGGGTGAAACATCATTCCTATTAAATCTCCTGATAAAAACACTCTGAATTAGTTCTGTATAAAATAGTATTTCAAATAGATATACTATTTTGTTTCTATATATAGATATTTATTTGTTATTTGTTTATTTATCTTCTTAAACATCATTCCTATTAAATCTCCTGATGAAAACACTCTGAATTAGTTCTGTATAAAATAGTATTTCAAATAGATATACTATTATTTCTATATATAAATATTATTTGTTATTAGTTTATTCATCTTCTTAATCTACTTTTGCCAAATTAACATTTTTTCCCCCATCTGATTATTCTGCACTATAAATACATTATACTGATTCTGATTGGCTTAGAACAAATGTGACATCATCAGATCATGTGCTCTACAAACTTATCATTGATTGGTTAATACTAGTTCTCCTCTGCAGTGTAGAAGATGCTGCCTGTTGTGTAATAATATTCTTGAATGACCTTTAAAGTGCATTTCCATTTCAATCAGAGTGCAGTGAAGTATTCTATATCGCCTGCAGAATGTGCATTTTCAATAATCTTTAATGATATTTCTTCATTAACTCAATTAATATCAGTTATCATTCATGTTGCATGTGTCAAAAAAAATACAGCACATTAATATTAATTAGCATGATGTAATCAATTAATCTAATTAGAATGTTTATTTGATTTATTTATTTATTTGATTTCTATCCAATTGGAAATTCATACAGATTTATTTCATGATGTTTATTTAAGCACATGGGCTAAAGATTATCAATAGCGAATACATCACAGGATGCTGCACATAAACTAAGTCTCATTAAGAGGCATAGGAAGTGGACTTGTTTTAGTCAAGAGAAAAATTCATTGTGTAATGACAGGATTTGAACCCAGAACCTTGGTATTGGAAGGGAAGCTGTTCACTCAATGATATGGTTTATGAACTAAGTCTCTCTATGATGATTAGGGGGTGGATTTTTTTTCTTGTTGAAGCTACCTGTAGGACCCTTGGATTAGGAAGTGAGTTTCTTTACCAATTGGGAATCCAGAGGGTAGCAAAACAGTGTGCTATTCCTCCCCTGTAGCAGAATAAAATCTTAAAGATCAGTAAACATTATTTTTAGGTGGAGGTATTATTTCTCTTAGGCCATTAAGAAAGCTTCAGTCTGTTTTAATATTACTTTATTTATATAGCTAATCGGTGGTTGTAATCTTATTTTTAGGTTAGCACCAGTACTATGCGACAGGAACTAAGGCATGCTAGGAACAAATTCAGCAGCACTGCGATTATTCGTCGTACCAAACTACTTCGAGAAAAGCAAGATATTGTCAATAAAATGATCGATATCGGAGAGCAGGTAAGAACGATAAAACTTGAGTATATTGCAAACCCATTGTAAAAAATAGCAGCGCTCTCAATATCTAAATTCACTTTACATTGACATTGATGAACAATTTGTAATGTCCTCCTCACTTCCTTCAGTCATGCATAACTATTCTGCATACAGGAAAGCAAGTTCATTTAACATCAAACTTTTCACATTTCATTACATATCCACTAATATAGACCTTTAAGAGGAGATCTCTACATAAATGGGATGCGGTGAAATGTGTTTATAAGAGAAGGTCACTGAAAGATTCGAACCACCAACTTCACGTTTAGAGTCTGAATGGCTTCCAGTGTGCCAACTACTCTGACGATTAGGAAAGTGAAACTTTCTGCTTTTGATTTAGTAACAGTCAATGATCAGCCTCAATAACATGTTGGTGTTTGTTAGAAAAATGAAGGCAATTTCTGTCTCAACTGCAACATTTACTAACCAGATCAACAGACAAGCCATACTTCCTAATTAGAAGATTTAAACTTCCTTATCAAAGAAACTTATCAGTAAGTTTAATGAATGTTGTTGAACTTTTTTTTTGCTTTTCGATAGGTATCAGAGAGTAAGAGTTCTGTTGCTAGTCTCCAAGCAACTAATCAGTTGATGAAGTCAGAGACCTCGGAAATGATTGAGGAACTCGGGGACACTGAGATCCAAGATCTTACCTCCGAACTTGTTGACACATTGGAAGCTGAGAACCAGATTCTACGTGAACACGTAGTCAAACTTGAAAACGAGGTTTCCGACCTTCAACAATCCTGCTCGTCTCTAGTAGGAGATAAAGAAGAATGTGAGAAAGTCATAGTCCAACTTAATCGTAATTTTCACGACTTCCAACGAGACGACACTCGCAGTTCTCAGGTTGGCTTTGATAGTGAAACAGAAAGTGTCACTCGGCCATCTGTTGAGACACATGCTGTGAAGCATATACAGTACAAACGTCCAAAATCACCGTCAGAGTCAAGCACTGCAACTGAGGTTTCCAATATGACTGGTGCTGAAAACACAGATGTTAGTAGTGATGGAGAACGTCGATTGGTGGAAGGGTCCGACTCCATCAGCTTCGATGGAGAGTATGACGATTCTATTATGTTTTCTTCCATGAAACAGAGGTATAGTTCTGGTCAAAATTTGTTTTGAATTTTGTCAAAAAAGTTAGTACTACTACAACAACTACAACTACTAGTACTACTTCTGCTACTAATAACCCTCATAATTTAAATTATATACACAAGCATTATGCTAAATATGATAATAACTTGAATGTCGTAATCAAATACAAAGTTCCAGTGATATGGTTTACTCTGAGAGTATTGAAATATTTACATACTTTTTAATCACCTCACCAACATCATCTTGTTTCTTTCACCCAGGTTTCCAGAAGCTGCTCAAGTAATCCAACAACAAATTGAACAGCTTGAGATGTTCCAAGCTGATTGGACGATGGAGAAACAGGCGTTGGAGGATGTTGTAGTTAGCATGAGGGCGCAATTGAAGGAGAAGGACATGCAGTTAAAGCAGAATATCACAGCTCAGAAGGTAAAATATTTATTTTTTCATTATTTTTTACTCATTTTGTGTAGTGGCCAATATTTTTCAGTTTCAATTTATTAAATATTTGTCATCAAGAAAAAAAAAAAAAAATTATAATGAAAACCTACAGTAGTGTAAAAAAAAACAAAAAACCATTAGATGAGGTGGATGAAAATCCAAAATTATTTTTGTAAAAATTTACTTCAATTTCTTATTAACATATTTTTGTGAAAGAGGTCAGGGATTCAAAAACCTTTCTGTGCTAGTCGCTTGTGTCTTTTAAGCATGGCACTTCATCCTGTCTCTGTCCACCCAGGAGTATAAGTGGGTACCTACTGCAGAAAGTTATGTGGCATTGCACTGATTTATTTCATGTAGCAAGTTATGCAATACTTCCCCAGGGAGCTGAATATGTCTTCCATTGGCATCCAACGGTGGCTACTAAAATTTACTAAAAAGGTGTCTGACATTTTCGACAGCAGGGTCCAAACCAAGGGGCCATCGACCAAGGTCCCGGAATAAAAGTCCCGGGTAGGGTTATCTACAGCATTACTAAACGATACTATTATATCAATTAATCATGATATTAAATAACCATTACAATATCAATGCATAGGTAATTAAAAATGCGCATACCAGGATTTAAATAGAAACTAACTTTGGAGGAACACAACCATCGTTGGCCGCCTATACACTATTCAACTGTATTCTTATCTAAAAATGATCCATTATAATTGATTAACGATAATTGATTAGTGATAATATTCAAATGTAAACAAGTCCAATAATACACTTTACAGCATTCACACACAGCTGTACCATTGCGGCATGCATACCTATCATCCACTATGCCATCACAAACAACATTCTCAGTTGCAAACTTGAAAAATTTTACCTAATACTGATGCTCGAATCAATTATAAATAAATCGTAATATCAAACATCATTAAAGATATCGCAATGTGTGTTACTATTAGCAAAATACAATGATCAATATAACAATTCATTAACATACCTGTAAATTAAGTTTACTTTACGTTGCCAAACCGTACAGTAACGATGGCAGTGTTCAACCGCCTAGCAGCCATGTGAAGTTCACTATATATACCAAGACAAGCAATATCATTACGCGCATACAGTATTAAGTAAGATACAGACAGCTTAATTAAGTACCTGGATGCAATACTTCACGATGCAATTACTACGCGCCAAGAAAGAGGTCAACACATTTACTTGCTCTTCCACATTGACAAAATTTGTCTGTTCATAAAATATAGACTGTAGCGTAATTCAGCAAATCCAGCTTTAATTTTCAAAATAATAATTTGGTTTATTGATTGTAGACTGTTGATGAATTTTTCACTTTATCTGAAGGGTTTACTTCAAGTCGAACATGAAAAGCAAGATCAACTCCAAGAAAATGTCAATCACCTTCAAGTACAGCTCTCTCAACTAGGAGCAAGATATGATAGTATACTATCAGAGAAAGAGATGTTGGAAAAACATAAGGTAAACCTACATTGTCTTTGCAACAAATACAAACATCCATGTTCATTTGAAGATATTTTAAATTATCAAATAAGTTCTGTCAGTCAGAGTGAAATCCTTCAGTTTTTTGCTGATACAATTTTTTTACTCTTAATTATTAACTTAATTTCCAGCATATTAACAAATTATGAAGTATCTAGTTAATTTATTATTTATACATCTGTTCAAATGAAAATCACTCAAGTAGCTCAATACAAAAGGTACATCTTTAAATGTATGAAATGTGTTATCAGAAAGCATAACATTTAATCTATGTTTTTATATCTTGACATTTGAGTGACGACAACCAAAAATTACATATACAGTAAATCATGTTATTGAATGGATTTGATTTGTTTTATACCAACCAATTCTAGTAGAAAACATTTGTACATGGCTTGTGCAAGAAATATAACATTAATAATGTGTAAATATCAAAACTGCTCTATGAATAATCATATTATTAGGGTAGTATTGCATGATACTACATATAAAATGCATGGTTTCTTTTATTATAATTTTTGTTGCTGTTTATTTCTTTTTTATTCTTTGAAAACAGTATAATTTGTTGTAAATGCAAACCAAGTAACTATAATTATTTTACAGAACATTATCCAGCAGGAGACTGAAGAACTGTCACAGAGTTTTAGCGATCAAAGTCAACAAGTTCATACGTTAAAAGAAGAGAATAAGAGGATGGCAGCTCAGATTGAACATCATCAGGGCAATCTTCGAAGTCTTGAAAAAGAAGTTGAGAAATATAAAGAGGACAATGAGAACAATTCACATCGCCTGCTTGAAATCAATCAAGAGAAAACTGATTTGATGAAGGCCATAGAGGAGCTAGACCAGCAACATCAGAATGAAATCTCACAAGTTGTTGAATCCAGAGATGTCCTTGCAAAAGATGTCAAAAACCTCACCTCTGAAATTGAAACCTTGAAACAAAATTTTGAAGATGATCATGAAAAAACAGACACTAAAGAAATTCAGCTAGAAAAAAGTATTGAGGATTTAAAGAAAAGCTTGAGTGAGGAAAAACTTCAAAGACAATGTTTAGAAGAAGAGTGTGAAGAAAAAGATGGGGAGTTAACAGCCCTCCGGAGTGAGCTTCAGGAACAGAAGGTTTCAAATATTGAGGCTGATAGTTCCAGGGTTAATATGCAAGATCAGACCAGAGATTTACAAGTAAAAATAACAGAATTGGAAGAAGAAATTAGTGAGATGAAGAAAAATGAGGAAGAAATTTCGACCTTAAAGAATGAAATTTCAAGATTGCAAAAAGACTTGAGTGGAAAAGTAGAAACAGTTTCTAAACAACAAAAGGATATTGATCTTCTTAATAACAAAGTTGAGGCGTTTAATGCAAAGTCTGTAGAGATTGCTGAGGAGAATTACAGACTTGGTATAGCAAAAAGTGAAGATAATGTACAGCACCTCTCTACATCAGTTGATGATCTTCAGAAAGTTGTGGCAGATCTCCAGATGGACCTCGAAGTTGCACAAACCGAATGTGAAACGCTACAAAATGATCTTTCAAATAAGTCAAAAGAATATGAAGTTACAATGGATGAGATGTCTAAGATTAAAAGTATGGCTGCAAGTTCGATAGAACTCGAAAGGGAAAATTTAAGTCAGTCAGTAAATCATAATGAAAATAAAATTGAGGAGTTGCGAAATCAGTTGGAAGAAATGGCGCAAGATCTTCAAGAGACAAATGACATGCTAACCTCAACTCTTGATAACAATAAAAAATTATCCGAAGTCCTTAAGGAAAAAGAAAATGATATTAAGAAATTGGCACAGGAGAACTCATTCCTTCAAAATGCTGTGGAACAACAGAAAGTGAAGCTGACAGATGCTGTTAGTTTAAAGGAACAGAAGCAACAGTTAGAAGAGATGGTAGAGAAGCATGAAGAAGAAATGATGATGTTGAACACAGAGCTTCATGAAGTTCAGAGAAAATTACAAGCAACTCCTGAACGAGAAATTAGAGAAACACAGACATTGGGAATCATCACAGAATTAGAATCAGAACTTGAGAAATTAAGACTTCAGCTTAAACACAAGGATTCTGAATTAATGCAATTCAAGAATGAAGTGGAAGATCAGAATTCAAAACACCAAGAGAGCTTAAATGATTCTAGACAGATGGCAGATGATCTGAAGGAACTTCTAAGGGAGAAAGAGAGAGAGATTATCGAGATGAATGAAGCACTTCAATCACGAGATCATAGTTTAGATTCCCTTCAGGATGATGAAAGTTTTAATAAGTCAGTAGTATTGGAAAAAGAAGCAGAAATATGTAGCTTACAAGAACAACTTAGAAACCTTACTCAGGAAATTGATATATTTAAAGAAAATATACTTAAAAAAGAAGTAGAAAGAAGTGACTTGCTAAAAAAGTTAGATGAATCAAATCAAGATCTATTTAATAAGGATCAGTTGTTAAATCAAACTAAAGATGAATTTGAAAATCAGATTGTCGAGATGGACACAATTTTGACGCAATCAACTGAAAAATTGGAGAATGTTTCAAAGGAATTATTAATTAAGGATGCGAGTCTTTCTGATGTTAAATTTCACATGGACAAACTTGTAAAGGAGAAAGATGATGAAATTCTCAAGTTAATAGAAGAAACTGAGCTTCTTAAAAGGGAAGTACAGGATAAACAAAAGGATATACTTGAATTACAAACAACAGCACATCTCCAAGTTATTTCAAATGGGACAAAAGACCAATCTGGACTTAGTGACAATGAAAAGCAGTTTGAAAAGATAATCAAGGAACGTGAAAGAGAGATTTCAAATTTGAAAGAGAAAGTGATAGTACTTACTGGTTTACTTGAAGAGAAATCTACCTCTGTGATGGGTAACAATGTACTTGTTGATCTTCATAAGGCACAAATGCAAGTCAAGACATTTGAAGCTGAAAGAAACCAGATGATGACAGTCTTGAATGAAAAGACAAGGGAATGTAGCAACTTGAAAAATGAAGTGCACAGACTTCTTAGAGCTGTTGCTTCAGATAAGAATGCTTTAGATAAAGCCCTCGAAGACAATCAAAACATGGTGGAGAAAATGAAAGGTCCAAATAATGACATGAGAAAAGAAGCTTTGCAAAATTTATCTAGGCTTGTCCAGGACAAAGATTTAGAAATTGAAGCCCTGAAGCAGAAAAATGAATCTCTTCTGCTGGTTCTGCAGAGGGAAACACCTGACAAAACAACAGATGTATCAAACCTGTTAGTCGAAAACAGTAACTTGCAGAAATCAAATACAGTATTAATAGAGGAGCGTGATCAACTGGTTGTGAGCATTCACCAGAAGCATCAAGAAAGTCTGGCATATTATGAAGAGGTTCAAAGGCTTGCAGGAATTGTTACAACTGAAACCCAAAATCATAACTTGATGAAGGTGCAAGTAGAACAATTAACTAAAGACTCCCAACAAAAAGATTTAGAATTATCAACTATAAAAACAGAACTTGATGAAAAGAATAATTCCGTCTTACAATTGCAGGAAGATCTAGAAAATTATAAAGGGTCACTTTCAAAATTAGACAAAGATTTTAATGCTTTGAATGATAGCTTTTTGGAAATGGAAAATGTAAAGAAAGAACTTGAAACAAAACTTAGTGCCTCAGTCATTGCATCAGAAAATGAAGATAAGATGTCAGTTGTGATTAAGGAAAAAGAAGGTGAGATTATTGAACTGAAGAAACTTGTTGATGAATTTAACAAGAGTTTGGCTCAAGGAAATGCATCAGTTATTGAAGAGAATGTTCTTCCTCCTACTTCTGTAATTTTGACTGCTAGTGTACCTGGAGATTTAACTGATGGAAGGCATCATGCTGGTTCTGTTAAAACAGAAAAAGCTAATGCAGGAGAGGATACAGAGTCATTACTATTTGAAATTCAAAATCTGAAACAGAAACTAAAACAGACTGCAAAGACAGATGAAATCATCAATAATTTAAAAGACCGATTAAGTGAGGAGAAAATTCAGATAAGGGAGATTGATAATCAATTAAAAGAAAAGATACATGAACTTCAGAAAAAGAACTCTGACATAGCAATGTTAAAGGAACAAATTGACATACAAAACCAAGCTCTAATGGATGGAGAGGTTGCCACTCAGCATAAATCACAAGAGGCTCTTCAACTCCGCAATCAGTTACAATCCAGAGAAATTGAGTTGCAGACCTTTAGGAAACAGAAAGAAACCTTACAATTTGAGCTAGAAGGCTTCCGTTTAGAAGTTGAGGGTCACAAAAAGGAGAATTTAAATCTTCAGCATGCAATTCACAACAAGGACGCTGAGTGCCGTCAAATTCAAGATCTTTGTAATCGGATGTCAGCAGAGATTCAGGAGAAGAATTTTGAAATTACAGCTTTGAAGGAAAAGTCTGCAACTCTGAAGAAACTAGTGGAAGAGGATAGTAGTAGTCAAGGACAGATGCAGGACCTCCTCAGAGAAACGGAAGCAATGCAGATGCAGGCAGCTCTATTCCAACAGGAGAGAGATCAGGTTATGTTGGCATTGCAAAATACACAAGCTGAGCTGGCTTCAGTTAAGCAACAGGTATGATAAGGCAAAAAGATGTATATATATAAATTTACATAGAATACAATTAGAATTTGACTAATAATATATGAAAAAGATTCCACTTACAATATATGCCATATATATCACATATTTTGCACATAGCATTATTTATATGCATATACAGTATTTTGTGAATAGTCTAATTAGGCATGGAATATTTTTGTTTGAAATTACTAATGCTTTAATTTAATTTTGTTTATCGTAATATTTTACGTCTCATAAATATCATTTGAAATAATGTCAATTAGCGGATTTATTTTCAACAAGCAATTATATTAAATTGATTTTTTTTGGTGTGATTGAAATATATGCCAATTTTTTTTTTTTGCTGTAGTTTCAATCAAGTGATGATAAGAATCAACGTTTGGAGCGTGAGTTAAGTAGGCTACGCAGTCACCTGCTAGAAATGGAAGAATCGTACACGAAAGATGCCCTACAGGCTGAGGAAAGAGAGAAGGAGCTTAGGAACCGGATTGTTGCTGCAGAGGAAAAAGCAATATCTAGCTCTACTGATGTGCAAAAAGCAAGGTAAGTCAAAGATTAGATTTTAATTAGATTGATTTATCTTGAAGGTATATGGTCTGTAAGCTAATCAACCAGTAAATTTGCTAGCAGGGGAGACTTACGTATTTCTAGTTCTATTCCATCAAGCTGTTCTTGTGAAATAGAGGTTAAGTTTCTTATTTAATGTACCAACAAGGAATATTGAATTCCTTAAATATATATCAAATAATTGCAAAGCAATATATGTTTAATCTTTGCAACTTTTATTCATTTTAGTTTTGAAGCCACTGCTCACATTGAGAGTTTACTTGACCAGCTACATGCTGTGACAGCTCAGAAGGATGAGGCTCATATCCAGTTGGCTGCTGCTCATGAGCAAATTCAACAGTACTCTGACTCCATGACGAACCTGCAGATGGTCTTGGAGCAATTCCAACAAGGTAAATTATCCTCAATACTTACTATATATACTCACGTATAAGGCAACCCATGTATAAGACTACCCCCAAGGAAGATTTTTTGACGATTTTTGTATGTCGGAAGTATAAGTAGAAGTGGTTGGTATTTTGTAGAAGTGGTTGGCGCATCGGTTGTGGCTTGGACTCCCAACCTTGAGGTCGGGGGTTCGAAACTCTCGCTGTGCAAGTCGCTTGTGTCCTTGGGCAAGGCACTTTATCTACGGTTGCCTCTCTCCACCCAGGAGTACAAGTGGGTACCTGGTAGGTTCCAACTCTGCGCTGATTACTAGCTGCAATATTATGGAGATATAATTTAATTTAATAATTTCGTTTAGTGTTCAATGTGATCCATATGTGTTTGATCCAATGACCGGGGTAATAATGTGAAGCGCTTAGAGGCTTTGTTAAGGCATTAAGCGCTATATAAGAACGACATATTATTTATTAAGTATATGAAGAAATTTATACTTTATACTTTTTGCTGCTTTTTGTAGACTTGATACTGCATCTAGCTGGCTAAAGCTGCGTTCACACCCGATCCGAATCAAAATTCGTAGAGCATTTTCGATGCATGTCTAGTACGCGCTTCTTATTCTTTGCCACTGATTTGATCTTTTTGTTTGTTTCTTTGTTAGCCGTATGAACCAAATTCGGATTTGGTGGGAATCTACTTTAAGAACGGAGCCAAATGTAGGGTTAATCTTCAAAATATTACCATTTTATGCCGGGGTATTAAATATTAATAAAAATCATATTTCCCAGTATTTGAAATTGCTTTCATTCATACTAACATTTAGTAGGTTCATTGCGGTAGTAAATTTGCGTGTTACGGACGATCCCCTCATAAGACGAACATGATTTGAAAAATATGATATTTTTATGTTGCGAATATAAGACGACCCCATGTTTTACGATCGTAATTTGCTATGCTATTTTAAGCTTCGTCTTATACACGAGTATATACAGTACTGAAAAACAAAGATCGTATAATACCGCTTTCTGCGGTTTTATGTGTAACAAAATAGAAGTGTCAATTTGTGCATAAAATAATGGTAATTGAGAGAGGGCAGCATAGTAGTTACCACAGTTTGCATGAACATCATAAATGTCAAAGTTCTCAAAAAGTATGTCAAAAGCAATTGCGACAGGGTGCCCTACACTAAGTTGTTTACAGGATTTACATGCAGAAATTGCAGAGACCACTATCTTGTTGTATGATCTTTGATGAATAACCATACACATGTGCAAACAACCACCTCTGCTCCCTGGGTAGTATTCATTGCTGAACGAAAGCCTCAGAATAGAGAGGCCATGTCAGTCTGCCTCTTGACTTGTTCCTGTACACCAATTCACTGTTTCTCAATAGGGAGGTTTCGATTGCACGACAAAGGTAGGATGTAGAAAGTCATCTGTGCATGGGATAATGTTAAGTTCTCATTGCGTGGATTCTAGGATGCAATTTGATTGAATTTACCTTGTACAGAGGGTGGGCACGCATGACTGAATCTATTTTAGCACCCTAAGCTCCCTAATTCATGACTATCTCATCCCTCATATTTTGTGCTGCCTTCTGACCTGCTGACTTCTCATGTCCACCTCCATTTTACTTTTTTCCTGAATTTTCTGAAATCTTCAAAACAATTTATTTGTCCTTCTGTCTCTGCATGTAATACTTAACATGCTAATTCCTATATTTCTGTATATAAAGATGTTTTGCAAAGTCTTTAATTGTTTTTTTTAATGTTTTTTCCTCCATCAGAGAAAGATGTGGCAATGCAGACTGAGATTGAACAGCATGCGAGACGAGCAAAAGAAAAAGAGAAAGCCGCACAACTACTCTTGAAGCAGAATGATGAATTAAAGGTGAGTGAAGGAAATTGAAAGGGGAAAGAAAAAGCTACTTTTTAAGTATTTTCTGATAGGTGACTTTAATGTTAACTCAAATCCTATTATCTTTCATGTATCTTGATATCTGCCCATTTGAGAAATTTCTGTAATGATTTTATTATTATTATCATTGTTTCCTTTTTCAGAATAAACTAGAAGAGACAAAAGAAGCGCTGAGTGGTGCGATGCGGTTGAATGAACAACTTGACAAGAAAGAAGACCTGATCAAGAAATTAAAGGAAGAAGGTAAATAAAGTTAGGTTGATTTTTTTGTATTGCGTTTAGGTATATGTGAATAGATTTAGGTTAATAGATAAATGATAGAAAAATAAAATAAGAAATAGAGAAGTAGCAGTAAATTGTATAACTTTCATGCTGCATTAATTCTTTCTGATCTTACTGGTTGAATCTGCAATTATTTATATTTTATATTTCCCCCACCCCCAAGTTACATCTGGTTGGTTTAAATATCTGTATATTATAGGCCCCCCCCCCCTCCCAAGTTCCATCAATCTTGTCTGGTGTAGTTGGTTAAATCTGCAAATACTTTAATTATGTCAATTCATTCAAGTCACACTTTATTCCTCTGATCTGATTACCCGTATATCCAAATAATTTGTATTTGTATTTGCAAATTTTCTATTCATTTTAGTTCATGCAAAAGAAGATGAGGCTGAGCAGTACCACCAGAAGCTGATAGAGTTCAACACAATGAATGGATCCAAAGTAGACAAGTAAGCCACTAAGCATGCTCAGAACCTTACACAATAACCAGAAAACTATGAGTTGCTACCAAAATTGAGTCGCCAAATAAATTTGTAAATCATGAGACACCCTTTAGGATTATTTTTTTTAAATTTAATGTTATATTTTGGTAAAGATATCAATTTTAAAATGTTACTTCTGTTCATCAGTGTCCCAGGAAATGTGTTGTGGCAAACTGTTTTGACGTTTGTTTGCCGGTTAAAAAGCTTGAGAACTGCCATAATGCACTCTCGATGAAGTTGTAATCAATATAATGAGTGTCTCCATTTGCAAGGTAATTGTAAGCTGGAAAATTTAAAAAAAATAGTAAAAAAAGAAAACACCTTGTAATCAATCAAATTTTATGCTGATTTGAAAGTCTCAATTTTGAAAGTTTATATAAAGAATACGTAAGTGGTATTACAGTAGTATTGTGTCTTTTGATTTTTTTTTTATTTTGTCTTTTCTATTGAAACAAATATTGTATAATTTAATTTATGGTAATTGGTTTTCATAGGTGTCTGAAGTTTGCTGTAAAAATATTCAACTGAGCTGAGTAAATTTACTCCCTGTTCAAGATATGTGGAAGATGTGGCTCTTTTAGTATTAAGTATCTATGTGTATGTTAATGAAGTCGCTTTTCTTTTTGCAGACCTTTGATTCGCAATCTGTTTGTTGGTTATTTTACCACTCCTGATGCTAAAAAATCACAAGTACTCAAACTCATTGGCAGTGTTCTGGAATTCTCAGAATCTGAGTTACAAAAGGTATTTCAGGTTATTAATTAATTTTGTATTTAATTGTTATTTTTATGTTAATTATATTTTATGTGTATTACTTGCTTGCTGTTAATATAATTTAAAGGTTTTATGTGTTATGTGTTTGGCATAGCAGTAGGATATAGTTTTTTCCTAACTTAACCTTTAGGTTCAAATTTTTAATTTGATCAATTGTTTGTGTATTTGAACAAGGACTTATCCAAGGAATGTGAGTGTTGATCTAGGTGTAAATGCCAACGCATTGACTCCTACTAGCCTTAACATTATGAAATAGTCGGTCGGGGTCGTTCCACTGCGGCACATACAGTGGTAGCCACTAGTGAGGGGAGTCAGGGAGGGCATTCACCCCCGTCGGACAGGCCTGGATCTCCCTGTCATCCAGTCCTAATATTTTGGTATAAAGGACACAGTTGGGACTATAATAAGTCAGAAAAACTCTCTCCCTTTGAACTGTACCAAGGATTTTTTTACCAGAACCCTGACCGAGGCTCTAGGCGGCCCTTAGTTTGGATTTGCTGTCAGCAAATTTTAACAAATACATTCCAATGCTTATATAGTAGGAGAGTTTTTTCGAGACACTTATTTGAGGGTAGTGCTTATTCGAAATTATTGGAGTGTTATAATGGTGCCATTATTGTATTCTCATCATTATTAATAATTATCGTAATTAATTATTATTTACTGTTATAATGGATTTTAATGTTTTTCAAATGATAATGTACTGAATATTTCAGGTCGGAGCAGAAGGTCATCAGAGAGGCTGGCTGTCTGGTTTTTGGTCTAAACCAAGTGCTAGCAAATCGCCACCAATGTCACCTACAACAGCTGCTGCCAACAAGGTAAGTCTTGAAGCCTTCAGATGGCTATCACAATCAGAAAGTTCATATATAGCTTGTTGCCTGTGTGACTCAAATTTTCTGGCTGGCACGTTGCCAAGGTTCATTAGATGTCAGTTTAGTTAACCCTCTTGATCCCGGATTCTATTTTTGCAGTGTAAACTCTTAATTCCCAGATTATTTTTGCAGTCTAACAAGTTTTTATGCGTTTTTTAGTGTACGCCTTTGATTAATTTTTGAGAACTTTCTGTATTTTTTACAAAAAAAATGTTTCTAAAAACAAATGTTCTTGTATAATAAACATCATGTGCGGCCGGCCATTCTGATTTAATTTTAAATTTTTAAGTTTTCAAATCAAGATCTCAAAAAAACTGTTTACAAAGCACGACGTCAGTTTTTTGAAAATTCCGAAATAATCAAGCTTGACGCATGCGTACACTAAATTTTGAAAGTTTTGGAACCAAAATATACACTGAACAGCGATTTGAAAACAGCCTCATTTTTCGTTAGTAAATTTCAACTGCGGTCGAAGTTGGGTAACCTCAACTTCAAATCCATTTCTACGGGATTCGAAGTTGGGATCAAGAAAGTTAAGTTGAGTCGAGTCACGACATAAGCTTAGCTTCAGAACAAACACATTTTGCATGTTAATGACTTGAAATGTTTGTGGAGTAGTTTATGTAAAAAAAATAATGACATCATTCCTTCCCAGTCTTTCATGGAACAATTTGTAACATTCCTGGAGACTGAGTCGACTCCGGTAAAGAAGCCACGCCTACCCGTAGAGGACATGATACGAGACGAACCTCGCACACCTGCATTCAATCCGTTCTCAGCACCGATTCCGAAGGAGTCCCCCTTTATCAAGTACACTCCTCCCAAATCCTCCGGCGATAAACCACCTGGTTTTTTGCAACCGACAATAGCACCTGTACCGATGTTTTCCGCAATTGCCGTAACCCCGAAAAGCTCATTGGAAAAGAGAAGTGCGCCACCACAGAAGGGTAATATCCTCAAAGAGGTGCTTAATAATTAGTCTATAAGTAAATATTGGTTAATTAAATTGAAAATGAAAATATGAAATAAAATTAATAATTAACCAATTAAAGTATCATGATTAGGCCAAAAAAAAAAAAAAATGTTTGTTTGCCCTCCTCCCTCCACCCGCCCTTAACTCACTAAAAAAATAGGGGCGGAAAAACAGAAAATTTATCTTTATTTTTGGCCAGATGCCCTACAAATTTGTCTGATGTAAGATATTGCCATTCTAAGCCTCTGTGGGTTATTTTTATTCCATCTGATGAGTATCATAAAAAAAAAAAAATTAAATAAAAAAATTAACTTTTTCCACCCGCACCTATTTATCATTTTTAAAAAAAGGAGGGCAAACAAACGATTTTTTTTTTTGGCCTTATCAATCAGATTGGTAATCAATCAGCATGTTTATATATTGCATTAAAATTGGGCTGGAGGTGGAATTACTCAAATATTTATTACTTTTTTTATATTTGTTCAGAAGTGAAAAATCTACTACTGGAATGTACATTCTTTCATAATTCTTGACAAAACTTAAAAAAATGTTATTGTGTGTACAGTATTGTGTAATTAACCATAATCATTATTTACAACATAATTGTTGAAATAATTGCATAATACCCAGGATGGTTCTCTTTACTGCTGTAATGAAACCACTTCATTTAAAAGTGGTAGACAGAGCAAGTCGAAGACTATATGGATATTCTACATGTACTTTTATTAAAATTGATTTAAAACCACCAAAATTATAATTTATAATAAGCTTATTTGAGGTTTCTGAATTAGGGTTCATTGGTGAGTTTATATTTAAATTGTATTAAAATTTGTATGTATATTTTAGTTCGGTTTTTAATCATGTTTAACATTATGTTTCATGTGATAGTATAACTTTGAGGACAGTATTTAATTTGCAAGTAAAAAAGTAATGTGTAAAATTGATGCCACCATATTAATAATAAGTAAAAGTATAATACTTTTACTTGTTATTCTACATTTTGGAATTAGTATTAATTACCAGTAATAATTAAATTAATTTCAATAAAATTATTAATGGTTGAGTTATGCACTAATGTTAATTATCACATAGCACAGGAAATGATTTTTACTGCGCAAGTGCAATAAATCTGATTGGTTGAATGTGTTAGTATATTTTATGCAAATTTCATTGATGATAATTATGATTATTTCTATTTTGAAACTTTGTTGTGCCTAACTGTGTCAACATACCACAAAGGGTTTTTTTTTTTAATGTTTACATTCTAAAGTTAAAACTTTGAATGTTTCTCTTTGGGTCCAATTTGTTTTCTACAATAATTAGGAATTATATTTATTTAGGATATTTGTTGCATTATATTATAATTGTAGGGTGTACAGAAAAAGAATTAAAATGTTCTATTTTATGCCATGGTTATTAAATACAGATTTTTTTACGATAAAGTTGGTGTAATTGTTTATGTTTCTTTGCTAGTTCAAAGTAAATAACTTCATACATGAAACATAATGTAATCTACATCACAGGTGGGCATCACAAATGAATGGGGCTCGACAGTGATCTTTTGCGGCCCCTGAAAATGAATTAAAAACTATTTGTGCGGCCCGCCAACCATCTTTGACTACAACAGATCATCTGTAAAAATTAACATTAAAACTGAGCATCAAGAGGTATATTAAAAGCAGTGCATAAGGTTTTTGGAAGTGGAAGTGCTGGAAACATAAAAGTTTGGGCGTGGCCCTCTGTTGAATCAAAAATTCACTTTGGCCCTCCGACCAATTTTTATACCCACCCCTGGCCTACATTATGCAGCAGGTAACTTGACATTTTGTTTTGACATCGCAACGCAAAGTTTTTCAGTGTTCAGTCTGGGCTCTCGCTAACCGATCGCCTGGCGAAAAATTTGTTGGAAAAAATCAATGCTTTAGGCATTTTGGCGAGGGCCTAAAATACAGAAGTTTTAAATACTTGCTAAAATACCTCGTTTTTTCATTTGATCTCCATCTTTCGCCAACTCCATGTGAGTATTTTTTATTTCTTTTGATGTATGAATAGTCTAGTTGCAAACGTCATTTCGTGCCTCGCAAGTTATTTTTTATTTGTACAGTAATTGTTATTTTAACGTGGTAGATGCACGGCAGTGGCTGTATAACGTAGACTAATATGAAGGTATTATATTGCCGACAACCGGCATGCAGTAGTGTAGCCATATTTGCAAGCTTATATGCAGTATAAGTATAAGAGTGTTTGACCAATCAAAACATTACCCCTAGTAGGTGACATAGCTAATACGATTCTGACATGTTTGTTTATGCAGAATCAATTTGGAAACAACTTCATAATGCTGATGCTCTACCTAAATCATTTATTAAACGTGAAGAGATTAAGAACTAAATTCGTGTCATGACATGTAACTTTCTTGATTTTGATAACCGCAACTTAAATTGTGATGCCAAACGTATTAATACTTTAAAAATCATACGCTATAAATATGTATTCTTAGACCTGATAAAGGAAATGTGTTGCGATAATGAAGAAATCCTACGAATTAACGTTCAATACAATATCAGTACAGTATCATAACTAACATTAACAACCGCTTAAAAAAGATTACTATATAACAAGTAACGACTCCAATAATATATACTAAACGTTCACTATATAGGATTATAATCCTAGGAACAACATTAACAACTAGGTTTAGGATATAATATTATGAGTAACTCCTGATATATTGATATGACCGATATAACCTTACAACCAATGTTACCAACGGGTTACAAAAGATAATTAATATTCACTTAAGATTCATCATATAACATATCAAAATAAAATAAAATAATAATAATAATAATATAAAAGCAATAATAAGATAAACAGCAATGCACTTTCTCACGTCCAAGAAAATGCTTATATTGTACTGTAGTAGGTACTAACATGTGCCTGCGTTTAAGACCTATTTCAAAATAGGCATTCATCAGAAGTTCATGATTATAAAATTATTAACCTTTGTTGGTGAAAGCAGGGAAGTGAAATCTCACATCAAAAATGTATTTTCTTGTTTAGAAATTGCGTTCAACGTGGTAAATATCTCCATTCTGTTTTTATCGCGTAAAATAACGCAAATTTTCCCTGGACCCTGCCCGTCGTCCCCCTGGCCTCAGCCTAGTTGCTCGCTGCGCTCACAAGGCTTGACCCTCCCCTCAAATATTAATATGGCTTCGCCCCTAGGGGGGGGGTTGAGGTTATGCTCGATATGATTATAACACCTTGTTCTTATATTCGAGCACTGTTATTATTATTATTGTTATTATTATTATTATTCATTTGTTCATACTATCCTGCAGCAAACATAATTTGGATGTTAATATTGAGCCCAGATAAGAACCCAGATTTGCAATCTGTAATTGAGCTGGAAGTTAATAGCCCATTGTGCTTTAATAATATCAAAATTATGCAATTCGTATTTTATTGATTGGAATAAAATTGTTCAAGATTGCTTTTATTTTCCCCTAGGCCTACATTTAACTTTCTACCTGCATAGTAAATTCCAGTATCATGTATAGGCCTACACAAAGCCTACCTATAAAACACTCACCACATGATTTGGTAAATCATTTATAAAAATTATAATAGTAAGGGGGCCCGGAATGTAACTTAGCTTCTAAACCATGCATAGGCCTACATAACAATATTATGATCAAGTGTGACTAATCCAACAACTTTTCTTTTATCAATAGCATCCAACCAATTATTTGAAACTTTATTGAGGTCCAAGTCCCGAAACTGGAGATTGACACACACCTCAGGCCTAGTATGGTTGGGGCGGAGGTAAGCCCAGAAATGGCTCTTTGAGACTGTAAAGTAGTGTTCTTTACTATTTCCCGACGGTAGGTCCAGGGTTTTCTTCCACGAGACCCCACGCTGTTGGCACCGACACTTGTGTTTCTCAATTTTCCAAATATAGAAATTATTTTAAAGAGTACGGTATGTCCAGGGCATTGTTCTTACCGCTTCTACTCAAGAGTGGACCCAGGCAAGCACCCGGGTTTAGAACTGAACTCAGAAGTTAGTATCGCCTATTCTGCCTTGATAATGACTCAATTCGTATTATATTTTGTGCGAATAATACAGCGTTTTGTGAAATTAATGGTAGAAAATATCCTTTCCGTGGTGTGTGTGTGTGCTGGTTTCCTGTGTGCTGCCATAGTAGACAGGAGGAAAGAAACAGACTGCGAATACTTGAATACTGTAATTTTTCTTTACAAAAAAAAACCAAACAAACAAACAAAAACGCGATGTTGCGTCAAAAGGACAACTTGGCATACAAACTTTATAAATTAGTGAATTGGTCCGGCTGCCACCAAATCAATCGGGGTGCTTCCTGTGTCTTGACAATTCTTACCACATTTCGAGTACCAGTATGTTGTGTGTGAAGTCTGGGAACTCCGTCGCATGACGGTCGTAGGCCCTACGATGAATCCAACTCCGCTCCCTGGTGGGAGCGCTAGACGACGCGACGCCGCCGTCTGCTGATTAGGCCTACTTTTGGTCATGGAAGTCTAAACGGAACGTCATTATAAACGGTCTGTGTGTACGAGCATCGTGAGGTTGCGTTCTCCATAAAATCGCATCCATTCACAACCGCCGGGCAGTGTGTGCTAGGCTTTAGCTCTAAAAACTTCCAAAATATTGCAGAGTTGAGAATGGGATGAATTAGGAAAGAAGCTGACAAGATTTGGTTTTTAAAATCATATGAAAACAGGTCAAAAAACTTTCAAATGGCCTATTTATTTCTTCAATTAGGCGTATTCTATCCCAATGTACGTGTGAATAAAAAAAAAATATATATAGTAACACTTATTATATAACACATTTTTTCATCATCAGATATCATAACAATACTTCTTGACCAAGGGCAAAATCGAGTGGTATTTACACTAAACAATTAAAAACCAAATCTATTTAACTTGTTAATAAAAAATCCATGCATTAAAAACACACAAAGAAAAGCATAAAATATACCTAGACAAATCACGAACAAAAAAGGAATAATTGAAAAAAAAAATACTATAAAATATGACCGAATTACTGATTAAATGACTTACTAATAACAATAAAGAAGACACAGAAAGTTGCGTGTTAAATTTCGATTTGTGCGTTCGATGTGTTAGGCTGTATATATTTATTTTAATTTAGCTGTAATTCCTCTCATTCGGGAATAGATTTCATCCCAGTCAATGTACATCCCCTGTAGGTGACGTGGGGTTTGACATCCTGGAGGAACTGTGAACGCTGAACGACCGTGCAGTACCCGAGTGTTATTAAGACAAGCCGCTTCACCTGTATGAAATGAGATAAGTTTTATAAAACAACAAATAATTGAGGATGCTCCTATTTTGTTTTCCTGACTGATAACCTATTTTATTTCATTTATTTGTCTCAAAATACAAACTAAATCAACTGTCAAGCGGATTACATACTCAGAATGCTCTGTTGTCCTGAAAAATATCGTTTGCGCAAGAGTATTGTATAGTTCAATTACCACTGGCATAACTCACCTTGTTGTAATGCAAAAGAAATTAAATTTTCTTTTTTTGTTAAGGCCGAGTTGAATATTTTGATGGCTCTGTAGATTGTCTTTATTTTATCAGGACCTACACTCATCCAAGCGCCACGGGTAGTGTTATTGAAAGCAATTTTTTGAATCTCACCCTCCTGATTTAATCTGCAAACAGTGAAATTGCAAAATAATAAATAACTAAAACGAACTCGATAAAAACAAACATTGGGCGAGACTTTTTGTACACCTTGTTTCACGAATTTATTTTTTATAATGTCTGAGGAGGGCGGAAAAAATAAAAATAATTTTTTTTTCATTTAGCAAATATTTTTGCCAAAAGCATTCAGACGGAGAAGAAAATACAAATGAAATTTTATTGGTGAATGTAAACAGTGTAGTAATGGTATGGTTAAATGCTTTAAATTTATATAATTAGGAAGAAATATATACATATCTTATTTTTGGAGATTTCAAGGCAGCGGCGGGCGTAATAAAAAAATTTTAAAAAAATAAATTAAAAAAAAATTTTCACAAATCCGGTATATTCGGTGGCGGCGGGTGCGCTAATAGGCCAAAATAAAACTTTATTTTTATTTGAAATCATCATTATTTTCGGGCGGCGGGTTCGCTAAAAAAAGGTATAATAAAGTCTCGCCTTGTCAGTAGCTAGCGTCTAGTAAAATGCTTGTCGGCAATTAAGGCCAAGAACCGAAAGCAATATATAACTCGACATATTATTGTTTAAATGAACAATTGAAAAGGTGTTTGAAAATATGCTATCTTATTAGCCGTTCCCGACTGTGTCTTGAAGCTCGGTTTCCATACAAATCGCAACACGCTATCGCCGATTTCTTTGGTGACGCTGATTGGTCAGTTGCATCAGGGAGCGTTCGGGGACAGTCAGTGTTATTTTCTCTATGGTCAGTGCAAAGATACTGTACTCGGTGCAGTGAGTGAAAACGCTGTAGTGACTGTGTAGCGATAATATGGAAACATTCCTACTGTTCAATGTCACATCCTAATAGCACTTGCAGTACCCGCTGCTATTAGGGGATCGCAAGCTCGGTGGTGTAGTGGTTAAGACATCAGGCTAGATGCCTGGAGATCGTGGGTTCGATTCCCACCCGAATCACTTGCGTTTTTTTTTCGGTAGTATTTGGGGACGTACAGACGTATAATAACACCTAATGTTAATCAATTAATCAAATCAATTAATCAATCTACAGGAGCGGGGAGGGGCACAACAGTTTCAGAATAGGTAAGTGAGTAGCACATGACATTGATTTGCATTGAATTTTTTAAAATTTAGTGGCAAAACGGGGAGGGGGAACGTTCCTCCCGTCCCCCTACTAGATCTGCCCCTATCTATTCATTCATTATGAACATATAAAATAGTATACCTTATTATTGGTTTCCAATCACACAAAACATAATCTGCTTTCGATGACTTGTGTAATCCATGGTTAACGAATGAGAGTGCTACAGTACTGAGAGTGTCAAATGTTTCTGGATCTTCTTTCTGTAAGTCATAGGCCACTTTAAATCCGTCTGCAAACTCGCTTATTCCACCATATTCACTCTTTTGGATGCAGTGTAAAATCTGGATCTAAATTGATGACAAATAACAACCTGACGAATATTCAATGTGTTTAATTTGTATTAGCTTCCAGTAAATATTAAACGGTGTTGGAATGAAGAGTGTCCATTCTATGTGATGTTATGTAAAGAAAATTGGCCATGTATTTTGTACCGTGCCTTTTTCAAGTGAATACAAGCGTTAATTCCGAAATAAACGAATTAAAGTGAACTAATGTAATGTAATGTATCGCTTTCACATGTGGGTATATGCAGATACCCAGCTGCACGATTAACAATAGCTTCTGCCTTATCCTAGTGCATCGGGTCTACTACCGGGACTGCAAAGAAAATGACACTGTGCTTGAGTAATTACTCGAAAGAGAAAGAACACTTACTCCAGGTTCTTGCTGATAATATGTTAGGTCGGTATGTAGGTGCAGCCGATATCCTGTGAATGCTAGATTTGTTGGTTCTGGATTTGACTTGACAACAAAATCATTACTGAAATTAGAACCAAATGATTTCAGAAGTTTATAGGCACGATGTCGGCAGGCAGCGCCTATAGAATGTATTATATTATGCATTTGATTTTTATAAATGCTAGACACAAATCATTTGCCATCTTTAGTGAAGCGGGATGGAATACTAACACTAGCATTGGGGGAAAGTGAATTACGGTGTAATACGGTGTGAGTTGTGATAATTTCTCCTTAGAAGAAACTCAACTCACTCACACCGTATTCCACGCAAGTTACCGAAAGCCTTGACAAATTACACAACCGGAAACTCAATCAACTCTTTGACAAGAAAGCCAAAAAGATCGTTAATCTTGCCGGCAAGGATGATCTCCTGAAACCTCTGTGCCACAACCAAAGATCTACCCTCCTTAACCATTTCCCAAGGAGCGTCCGAGGACAACAAGAAGGTAAAACAAACAACTTTGTTAATCTTTCTGATCACAAGCCGACTGAAGGAGAACGATCTTAATTGCTTAACAAGGGTCTGTCATTCTGTCCATCGACGAAACCAGATCCTGTCAATCTTTGTTCGGACCTTCACCAATTGACCCGGAAAATCTGTCGCATAGAACATTTTAACAACAATGACAAAAGTACAAACGACTACGTCAATCCTCAACCATACAAAAGCCCGCCAGTCTCACCCGCCAATGGACGCCTACCGTGAGTAAGAACCCATATATCGAGTCATTTGTGAACACGGCTAAAAGCCATTTCAATGCCTTCATCAATAAAAACACGGGAGAGACAACCAAAGACAACTTGACTAAAACTGAACGAATAGCAATTAAGGAACTCAACAAAAATAAAAACATCAAGCAAGCAGATAAAGGCGGCGCAACCACTATAATTAACACTTCCGACTACGTAGCAGAGGCAGAAACTCAACTTTCGAACAATGAATTTTATAAGCTACTTGATGCTGATCCCACTGTACGTTATTGTAATGAACTGACTTCTCTTTGTACTGAGTTATCTGCTAACACTAGTGATTTAGTTAAGGACCTTATTCCCCTCAACCCCCGCCCTAGCACTTTCTACACCATCCCGAAACTCCACAAACTCCTCAAGCTTCTAGGCCTATCTGATAAACTTAATTCACTTTCCCCCAATGCTAGTGTTAGTATTCCATCCGAACAGGTTAAACTGTTCAACCTAGTCAGGACACACAAAATTACCCCTCCCGGTAGACCAATTGTATCGGCTATTACACTCACCGAACATTTATCAGGATACATTGACTCACTTTTACAGCCTCTCATACCTTCAATTCCTAGCTTCGTCAAGGACACTACACACTTTCTGAACATTCTCGAAAATATCCCCATCCTTCCTAACAATTCATTGTTGGTCACTTTGGACGTATCCTCTTTGTATAGCAATATCCCCCATGGGCCCTCCAAGCCCTTGCTACATTTTTACCCCAGCACTCGTTTTCACATGAACACATTAATGACATAATCTCCATAACTAACTTTATCCTGACGCACAATAATTTCACTTTCAATACTAAACACTACCTCCAAATTAAGGGCACTGCAATGGGAACCAAAATGGCTCCGAATTATGCCAATATTTTTATGTCCATTCTTGAATCCAAACTCATTGCTTCATTCCCATTTAAACCTCTGTTCTACCGACGTTACATTGGCGACATTTTCATAATTTGGCCACACGGAGAATGTAACCTTAAGACATTTATGGATCATGTGAACAACTTTCACCCTCATATTAAGTTTACATCTGAATATTCTCATACATCATACCTTTCCTGAATGTAGCAGTTATCCATCAATAACAATCGTATCTCCACATCTTTGCACTCTAAATCCACAGACAGTCACGCATACTTAAACTTTCACAGCTCACATCCATTAGGTCTGAAAAAGTTTATAATATTCAGCCAATGCCTCCGAATCAAACGGATATGTTCAGACATTAATGATTACAATTTCCATGTTAACATTAACCTAGCAGGATTTTTTCTCAGTCGTGGCTATCCTCTTAACCTCATTAAATCCCAAATTACTAAGGCAGCAAGACGTTCACGGCAAGACCTCTTATCTCCTAAAATCCGCCCCACATGCAATCGCATTCCCCTCATCCTTGATTTTCACCCCTCCATCACGTCCTTATCTAGAACTATCAGAAATGACTTCACCCCACTTCAACGCAATGAATCCACCCGACTCCTATTTGACCAACCGCCGTTACTCGCAAGCCGTCAACCCCCCTAACCTCAAAATGATCCTCACATCCTCACGCTTGTAACCACCTAAAAGAGGCAACTCTAAATGCAACAAACCACGATGCATGATCTGCAAACTACTCATCACTGACACACAAATTAAACTACCCCACTCCTCTCATACCATTCATCCTCCTGCCCTGACTTGCGATTCTTCTAATGTCATATACCTTCTCTCTTGTGTCAAACGTAACCAAGGGACCTAATCGGGGAAACCGGCGGTAAATTTAAATTAAGATTTAACTATCACAAACAAAGCATCCGCAAAGGTAACACAGACGGCTTTCCTGTGGCCGAACATTTCAACTCTCCTGACCACAACATCAACGACATTCGCTGTGCACTCATTGCTTGCAATTTCAAATCACTCAAAGAACGACGTCAATCTGAACTGAAACTCATAATCAAATATAAAAACACACATTTTTGGTCTTAATAAAGACCTGGGTATCATTAGTGACTACACCTTCCCCCATGCTGATTCTGCTAATTAATTATGCTTCATCTTAGTACCTTTATTCACTTATATTTATTCACACATGTATCTCATGTTTATATACATATAGTTCATTTCTATACATATATATATTTTTATATATTTTCATTTGATAATTATATCTATGCTTTTTGTACCCTGTTATCATAATACATTTTTATATTTCATATCTTATAGACGGGATTATGTTCACTCAACTTGTATACACCGATATCCATTTTATTTTTGTTAATTTAAGACTTTATCTCATCCATATATTGCTACTAGTTTTACTATTACATATTATTATATTATCATTACTATCGTTACTATTGTAATTATTATCATGTCCTCTATATCATTACATTATATTATAATGTATACACTTTCTTGATGATGACATAATTAATGTCGAAATATTGAATCCCAACACGATGGTGTGTATTTCAATACTTGGAGTATGTATTATACTTTCTTATGTATACACTTATTCTTTAATTATGTTCATTTTGATCTATAATGAATCTTTCATCATTACAGAGACCAATCGCCTATTAGATATTATTGTATTGTATTGTTCCAACTTTCTCATAATGTTAATCAGTCATGCTGAAGAGGACCTGAGGTCAGGTCGAAATATTCATGTTTTATTAAAATAGTGTTCTAAAGTCTACTCCGTTTCCTGTTTTTCTTTCT